TCGAACTTCGTACCGACTCTGTCTCTCGCGACATCCTACTTCACTTCGCCGTCCCCGACAAACCATGCAAATACCTTGGCAGAGCACGATCAATCAACGGCATCTACAATTCCGACTTCGACATGCCCGACTGCAGTGGCTCGTCCGACGAACTCATTGATTTAGTCCCGCTGAAGTTCGAATACATGTCTGAAAATTCCCGGAAGCACCCAGACGGAAGACCTTGGATCAAGCGCAAACCTCACCGACAGGAGACGGATCTGCACAACCCCGGCCCCAATGGCCTCTGCACCAACTGTCGAACACCCATTGCGTCCTGCACCAACGTGGCACGCAGAGGACTAAACGAGATCGAAGAAGCAGAAAGCCTCGCGCCGCCCGAAGAAGGAATGTCCGTGATCGAACTCGCCACCACATCATACCGAATCTTCGGCACACAGCAACGTGCTCTCGGCACATAGGCACAACCGCGTTCGAGCCTAGCCATCGATCGACTTCGGTGGATCCTGCACAGAGAATCACAAGGGACGTACGATGATGATTGGCGCGACCCCGACAAGGAAAACAAGCTGAGCATCCAAGAAGAAGAGAAGCTGGCACAACGCGAAGCAGGGGAACTTTGTCGACGAGCCCGAGAACAGGGGAAATGGGGCTGGGAGTCACCGACTGAAGGGGGGTGGGTAGTATCTAATGAAGCAACAGGTTGGGGCGGAGGCAACACGGCGGACACAGGCGGAACATGGGCAACCGCAATAGGAAACTGGGGCACTGGAGCAGCAACTGGATGGGGTACCGGAGAAGCAACATGAGGGGGCATACCTGCCCGAGAAGAACTAAGGGGGGAAGAAGAAGAAGAAGAAGAAGAAGAAGAAGAAGAAGAAGAAGAAGAAGAAGAAGAAGAAGAAGAAGAAGAAGAAGAAGAAGAAGAAGAAGAAGAAGAAGAAGAAGAAGAAGAAGAAGAAGAAGAAGAAGAAGAAGAAGAAGAAGAAGAAGAAGAAGAAGAAGAAGAAGAAGAAGAAGAAGCTCCAACTATAGTTCCTCTCGGCTGACCACCTCGCAAGCTCCAATCATTCGCGGCTCCCACTGCACCGCCCCGAAGCTACCAAAGCACTTACGTCGACTGGGGCAACGCGCCACCAACTCCACGACGTGACGCCTTCGGACCGGTCCCTGAACCAGAAGATCCGCTGTGAGGCAACATTGAAGGGACCGATACCCCTCTCTCTGCCATCCCCGGCCGCAACTGTCTGGCGCTCGCACGATCAACCCTACCAACAGAAGCAGAAATAGAAACAGCGACAGCAGCAGCAGAGACAGTAGGAGCAACAACAACATCACAGCCCGAACCCGAGGAAACTCCCGAAGAAGCACTTGCGCGATACCGTCGTATACCCGGAGTCCGCGCAACAGACGACCTGTGGCACCAGCGCCTCGGACACCCCTCACGTCAGACGCTTAACAACTGCATCACCGCTGAAGTCTTTGTACCAGGAGCCTTACTGCGACCTGATGGATCCGAACTGCGAAGCACCCCACTACCACACGTCTGCACCGCCTGCCACGTAGCTGCTCTGGCACATCAGCCTTACCCCTCACTCACACCCAGCACCAACCGGTACGAAAAGCTGCACAAGGTCTACAATGACTACCTCGTGGTCGGCTACAGCGCCCTCAACGACGAATTCTACACTCTCACCTTCGTGGAATCGAGCTCGCATTACCTCTGGGTGGCAAACGTGCAGAACCGAAGCACAGCCTACGAGGTATTCCGCATCTAGTTGGCGCATGCGCAGTCAGTCTCGGAAGAAACTTCAGATATGGCAGACCGACGGCGTAGCCGAGTTTCGCAGCAAAGAAATTTAGGATTTTCTCGCCGAAAAGTGGTTTATTCACCACATCTCGCTCCCCTAAGCTCACCCACAGCAAGGCATCGCCGAACGCACCAACCGCACTCTCATGACGAAGGTGCGCGCACTACTGAAGCAGTCCGGACTCCCCGCGAAGTACTGGACCTATGCGATGCACCACGCCGTGAGACTGCATAACCTCCTCACTACCACGGCAAACACGGGGAACCTCTCACCGCACGTGAAGTGGACCGGGAAGAAAGGCGACACCTCAATGTTGCGGGTATGGGGGTGCATGGTACAGTACAGGCCTACTCCGCAACCATCGGCAAGTTCACTGACCGCGCGCGTTGGGGAATCCACCTCGGCATCAACTACGAGTACAAGAGGTGGCTCATCCTGGACCTGCAGACTCGCACCTGCGTGAGACGTTCTGTTCTACGAACGCCTCACCTTCGCCAGATACCGTGCCGACGAGCAAGCAGGAGCTGCACGAGCCTACGCCACGATGGCAAGAGCATCGCCTCCCTAGAGGATGAAGCCGCAGCAGCAATCCTCGATCGCGACACCGACGACGAACATCCCGGTGTTACCCCTCGCCCGCGCGACGATGACGACGACGAGACCATCACGTCGACACAACCTCGCACCGCATCCCCCACCTGCACCTGAAAGCGACGACGACGACATGCAAGAAGTAGCTACCGAGGAACGCCACGGCACCAACGTCACCGGACTGCAGCTACTCGGCCTACACACCGCCACGGCCAGCGCCCCATGGGTCATCGAGCCCAAAAACCCAAGGCAAGCTCCGACTGGACCTCACGCCAAGGAATGGCGCGCAGCGATGGACGCTGAACTAAGGGCGCTGAAATCATGGGACACCTGGGTCCTAGTCGACCAAGCAGCAGTGAAAGGCAGGAGGGTACTATCGGGAAAGTGGGTTTTCCGCGTGAAAACCGCCGCCAACGGAACCTTCGAACGCTTCAAGGCTAGGTGGGTCGTACGTGGCTACGATCAGCGCCATGGGATCGACTTCGACCAAACCTTCGCTCCCGTAAGCCGGCACACCTCTTTGCGCATCCTGCTCGTGATCGCCACCGCCAGGCACCTACCGCTCTGGCAGATCCGCGTGAAGAAACCGTTCCTATACGCGATAGTCGATGCGGTAATCTTCGTGGAGCGGCCGCATACCTACGGGGAAGGGGACCCAGGAGTCTGCCAGCTGATGAAATCGCTCTACGGAATTAAGTAGGCACCGCGGATGTGGCAGCAACACCTACATCACCATCTCATATGCGCCATAATCTATTCATCTCTCAGCTTCTAAGTACGCGGAGTCACTGGGGGAGCGGTTCAAAGTTTCACCAGCACCACTCTCAACTCACTACCGCTCGCCAGGACCCAACCACAAACCGGACAACAAACCTCTGTCACCCGCAGGACTCCACCTCTACCAGCAGCAAATGGGTTGCCTGCTCTTCGCCTCCGTCACATGCAGGCCCGACCTTTCCTACATCGCCAGCCAACTGGCGCAATACTCACGTAAGCCAGTGGCCGAGATTCTGCTGGATCTCGAGCGCGCCCTGCAGTACTTCATCTCTATGCCCAACATTGGGCTCTCCTACTCAACGCTGACAACACCATCCTTCAACCTCGCTGGCTACGTGGACGCAGATCAAGCCGCTGATCCTGACAACCGACGGTCACGAACCGGCTTCGTCTTCCGACTCGAGCTAACGGGACCGATTTCCTGGAATTCGCAGAAGCAGGAATTGGTTGCCCTGTCGTCAGCCGAAGCAGATTTTATCGCCGCCACCGCTGCAGTTCGCGAAGGGCTCTACCTGCAAGAACTCTTGCAAGAGGCGAAAATCCCAACATCGCCAACATTTCGCTTCCACTGCGACAACTAGAGCGCGATCAAGATCGCGAACAAGCATGGGTTCGTCAACAGTACGAAGCACATCGCACTGCGGTACTTCTTCGTCGAGGATGAAATCGACCAAGGTAAAGTCGATCTGACGTACTTCCCGACCACCGACATGGCAGCTGAATTTCTCACCAAGCGACTGTCACGACAGCAGTACCAGCACTGCGCCAACATGACCGGAATGGTCAAAGTAAGTCAGCTCCCGCTACGCACAGGAATGATGGGGGTGTCGCGACATCAAACTAAACAACCCTGTACGCAACAGGAGCCAGTACTACCGAGTACGAAGACGAGGAGTCATGCGAGTCGAAGAAAGGAAACAGTTGTCAGGTAAAAACCGATGCAGACAAAAACATTTGTACTGGAAATGGCGGTAACTGGTTTGAAATGGGTTCCCGCACCGCACGGTTGAATGTCGTTGTAACAAAGGAATGTACCTCTTAGAGTACATGGCTAGCTAGGTCGTTTCGCATTCCTTTGTGAATATATATAAACATATGTATGTCTTTGTTATAGTCACTTCAGTCATTTTACATTCACTCTGAGCTAAGGTCAATCACTTCCGCGGCAATATCACTTTCGATCAACCCTGACTAGATCCTGGCACAGTCCCCCGTGGGATTGTAACAACTTGCACGCCACTGTGCTTCCAGTGAAAAGGAGGTTTCACTTGTAGACCAAACGGCTACAAAATTTGACAGGGAGGCAAGGTGGGTACGCACTCACCTTCCATTTCGTTGTTACCGTTTCACCACACTGGGTCTGTTCTGGAGTCACATGGTTCCGTTTGGTCCGGACGGAAACACTCAGGCCTAACAACTGTTTTCGGGCTGACCATGCTATCGAGCCTAAATTGACGATCGATGGAAACACCCTAGAGGATTCTCACAACGGAAACACTTGCCTGTAGAACACGGCCGTTATCTGCTTCGTCATTGCAAACTTTTGAAGGAAGCTTTATTCACTTTCTCTCGCCTTCCCTCTCAGAATGGCTGCAGAACAACGCAACTGAGAGTTCCTTTAGAAAACTTCCATCATTTTAGACAATTGTTGGACATGTATGCAGTACTGTAGCAATGATTCTTTAGTGTCCGAAAGCATGTTAAACTGACTTGACCAATACATACTACAGTACTACAATCGTGTCTATACATCAGATGATTCAATAAATAGTATGGTTTTGATATATGTGGCTTTGAAGAGAAGCAAAGCTGCATGCAGAATCATGCAGAAAAGGGCTTGAAGGTGAGTGCGAAGGTGCGGATCTCAAATGGCCCCAGTTCCACCACCAGCTGCTGTGGATCCACCTCCGCCCCATACACCGGCCTCTCAGATGACACCTCCCCCGGTGCACCCTGTGCTGATGCTGTTGACTCCTCCCGCCACGCCATTGGCGGGCGCATGTCCGCTTTCTTTTGATTGGCCGTCAAGCTGAGCTCTGTGAAGGAGATAATCTGTGGGGATGGATGCGACCGGTGCGATGGTGGAAAGGGTGAGGGATGGAACAGGATGAGTGATTTTGGGGATGGATGGAGATACAGTGAAAGAGGAAGAGGAGTGCATGAGATGGAGCGAATGGAGTGGTTGCTGGGTGGTGGCAGGAAGGCAAGCGTGCGAACGGCACGGCATTGTGCATGGATGGATGGAGGGGGGGGGGGGGAGTACACCGCGGTTGTGTTTCATCGATTCTGGTGGCTGAGACATGCTGAGACATGCACACCTGTCTGGAAGCAAAGAGCTGTCGCAGGGGCACAGAGGCCATGGTGGAGAGCGAGGGATGCTCCTTTGCCTGATGAACGTCCATGAGGAGGAATGAGAGAGGGCGGAGGAGGGAGGGAGGGAGGGAAGTGGAAGGAATTGGAAGGAAAACGAGAGGTTGAGGGCACTGATGCACGAGTGAGGGAAGAAAAGGTGTGCAGCAACCGTGTGCAGGAATGACGTAGGAATGACCATTTCCAGTATATGCATGCTGTGGGTGGGACACTTGGATGCAGCACAAGCCAACGAGGTTGGAACGGAGTGAGCGAAGGAGAGAGAGGGAGTGCGTTGGAGTAAGACTGAGAGAGTGGGGAGTGGGGGGGAGGCCGAGAGGAAGAGTGGGTGGGCGAGAGGGTGTGGAGGGGGTAAGGGCAGAAGGCGAGGGCAGCAGGTGCGGGGAAGCAGGTGCTGGGGGGCAGCAGGTGCGGGGAAGCAGGTGCAGGGGGGCAGCAGGTGCGGGGAAGCAGGTGCAGGGGGGCAGCAGGTGCGGGGAAGCAGGTGCAGGGGGGCCTCAGGTGCGGGGTAACAAGTGAGGGAGGTGACCTCATAGAGGTGAGCAAGGCGCAGCAGCAGGTGGTGGGGGGAGAGCTCCTGCATGGAGATGACCGCCACGTTGGGCGGCAGCGAGTACTGCCCGCCCGCCTGCATGTCGCCCTCCCCACCCTCGCCACTCAGTGAGTACGACCACCGCAGCCTCCCCGCTGCTGCTGCCAGCGCCTCCTTGCTCTGCACGGGGGTGTGGGGGTGCGGGGTTGCGGGCGTGTGGGGGTGTGGCAGGGAGTGTCATATTGGAGCCACATTGAGACTTCTCACAAGCAAGCAACTGCAATACAAAGAGTTGCATTCCACCACATGTGCAGACGGGAGAACTGCACGGACGACCTGGAATCCCAAGAGCATTCTACCACCAGTGAAGAATCTAAGGCTCTTCAATCGATGCAGAGTGCCAGATTCACATTGAAGTGACTCGGAGCCGGCGCCACATAAGCGGCAAGCGCGGTTACCTCGACTGCAAACGCCAGTTGCAGCGGTGTCAGCAGGCGCTGAGCATGCTCTCTCCTCCACTGCGCTGCCTCCTCCCCTCCCTGCCACTCCTCCTTTCCTCCCCCACCCGATGGAACGGCAGCCGTAGGGGAACCGTCAGTGTTGGGGACAGCATTGGCATCAGCAGATGTAGCAGCAGCAGTAGCAGCATCAGCACCGGCGGCAGCAGCGGCAGCAGCAATGGCAGCGGCAGCGGCGGGGACTTTTCTCCTCCCGGGGTGCAGCGCGAAGCGGATGGAACCAACAACCTGAGAGACATACACACACAGGGAGGAGAAGAGGTGGGAGCATGGTAGGGTGGGTACCTGGCAGGGTGGAAGAGGCGAAGTGCAGAAGGCTGCTGCTTTTACGAGCTCCAGTGGTCGTAGCAGTGAATCCCGAGGGGTAGAAAAGCAGAGGTGAAACGAGGAGCAAGGGATTAGTTAGGGGAAGGATGGATGCAGAGAGGTGCGTGTGATGGTGTGTGCATGCGTGCATCTGTGTGTCTGCATTTGCGATTGCGCATGGGCAAGTGTGTGCGTGTGCATGTGTGTGCGTGTGTGTGTGTGTGTGTGCGCGCGCGCGTGTGTGTGTGCGCATGTGGATGAGTATGAGTGTGAGCATGCGCGTGTGTGTGTGTGCATGCGTGCGTGTGTGTGCATGTGTGCGTGTGCGTGCATGCATGCGACATACAGAAAGGGGTTCGCACTGGCCGCCGTTCACGCAGATCCTCTCCTTGAGCACCTCTGCCACGCCCTTGCCATCGTCCATCTGCAACCGCCTGCCATGCACCGTGGGTGTGCAACGGGAGCGCCACATGGAAAGTGGGGCGTGGGGAGTTGAGAGTGTGGTGTGTGGAGTGGGGAGTGGGGAGTGGGGAGTGGGGAGAGTGGTGTGTGGAGTGGGGAGTGGAGAGTGGGGACTGGAGAGTGGGGACTGGAGAGTGGGGACTGGAGAGTGGGGGGCCAGAGCGGTGGGTGAGTCGTGGGGCAGTGGAACGGGATTGAGATGGTGGAGTACTGAGTTTGACCGCTGACAAGTGCGCCCAAGTGATGTAACCCATTGCACTGCGCCCATGCATGCTGTGGTTCGAATCCATGAATTCCTCCCTACTTCTCCTACCCCTGCCCACCTCATCATGATGCTGCCTCTCTTTCACAACCACTCCCCTCCTCACCTGTGCAGCATCACCTCTAGCTGCCCATCCGCCAGGCTGCTTGCCCCCAGGACGCGGTCCACCAGCACGGACAGCTGCGTGCTGGAGTCCCCTATGTGAGCACCGCACGTCTTTCGAGGCACCTCAAAAGACGTCTCTCTACCTGCAGCATCAAACACTCGCACCTGTGCAGCATGACCTCGAGCTGTCCGTCCGCCAGGCTGCTCGCCCCAAGAGCACGGTCCACGAGCACGGACAGCTGCACACTAGGGTCGCCCATGTGCGCCGCGCACGTCAGCTGGAAGAGCAGCGGGGGGAGGTTATGGGTGGGGGACAAGGGTGGGGGTGGAGAGCTGGGGGTTTGGGAGTTGGGAGTTGGAGAGTAGGGCTGTCGGGAAGAGGATATTCAGTGGGGATGAGAGGGCAAAGTGCAAAGTGCACGTGCATGTGGATGTGGATGTGCACTTGCAAGTGCATGTGCATGCGCATGTGTGGGTGCCATACCGGGTAGTAGTTGCCTGCAATGGGCTGTGAGACTGGCTCCGTGGCGTCATATGGGTAGTTACGGACCTGAGGCACCAGAAGAAGCACCAGCAGCACCACCACCACCACCATCACCAACACCGGCAGCATCAACATTAGCAAAACAAGCAATAAAGGGAGGAAAAGGGAAAAGATAGAGGGAATCGGGTGAGGATGCGCCTGGAGCAAGCGAGCACGTGTGTGTGTGGGCACGCGCGTGTGGACGAGCGCGTGTGTGTGTGCGTGTGTGTGTGGTGGTACGCACGCGTGTCATGTAGTCTCGGCCATTGGAGTCAGTGTAGAATGTGGAGTTGGATTGAATGGCGGTGTCAAAGCGAGTGATGTACTCCTTGCCCACCGCATCCTTCTCGTCCATGCCCACCTGCACTCCACTCCACTCCACTCCACACCACACCACGCCCCCCACCCATCCACCATCCACCCAGCCGCGCACACATCCGCCACACCCACCACAGCACCACGCCCCACGCCCACCCACGAGAGACCACAGCAGGACACACCATTTTCAGAACCCAAGACATGGCAAGCCAAGGCACAGCACAGCAGCCATAGGCACATGCACCCGGGAGAAGAGAACAGAGAGGGAGAGAGTTCAAGAGACAAGGGTGGACGAGCAAGAGATTGGATGTGCGCTTCTTGGTATGCAAAAGCTCTGAGGAGGAGGCATGAGAAGGGATTGGGTTGAAAGTTGTTGAAAACGTTCGTTTGTCATTCATCTGTAGGTGCTGCAAACTGGATGGAGTCAACCATGCGAGGCTCAAAGGGGTTTCAACTTGATTTGATCAGAAGTAAACGGACAAAGAAACAACGAAGGATGGGTTTCCATGAGGAGACCCATGAAACATCCACCGACCCATGAAACAGCGCACCCACCGACCCATCCACGCACCCCACCCCCTCCCCCATGCACCCACCCACTCCCCCACGCACCCACCCACCCACCCATGCACCCACCCAATCCCCCACGCACCCACCACGCAACCACGGACCCCAACACTCACCATGTAGTGCAGCTCGGCATAGTCCTTCCCCGGATACACTCGGAACACCTGCCGTGCGCGGAGGGAGGAGACGGGGCGCGGTTAGAGAGGCGAAGCGGTGGCAGCGGGAGCACGTGTGATGGTGTGAGTCAGCGAGTGAGTGCAAGGCGTCATATGCAAGCGCGCAACAACGACCATGTGTGAGTGAGGCGTGTCGACTTTCAATTTATCAGCCCCTATGCTGCTGCTGCTGCTGCTGCTGAGAGGGGTGGGGAGGTGGGGGGGGGGGGGCAGTGCGCACCTCAGTGACGTTTGGCGCCACCGTGCGATGGAACTCGCGTGATTCTTTAGAATTCTCAACTCAAACTTTGCTCACAACGGGGAGCGTGGGGGGCAGGGCGCACCTCACGGACGGAGGGCGCCACCGTGCGATGGAACTCGTGCAGCAATGGCCCCTTCACCACTCGCACTGGCACCTGGGCTCCCCCCATTGCGCCAGAGGGTGAGAAAGGGGAGAGGGGGAGGCGGGGAGCGGGGGAAGGGGGAGAGCGGGAGGGTGTGGGCGAGGAGATTTTGGATGGGTGGAGTGTGGACGGTGAAGAGCAGGGAGGGAAGTTGAGGTGCAAGGATGGATGGTCGCTCGTAGCAGCATGGAAGGTGTGTCTTGGTTTGGAAGTGAAACGAAATAAGAAGGAATGATCAAGGGACCACATTTCCAACAACACCATCATGAGCATGAGCATGAGCATGAGCATGAATACCAACCTGCCCGTCATTGTTGCTTGCGTCGACCCTCTGTGCGGGCTTCATCGGGCGGAAGAGATACGCACCACTCTGTGGGTGTGCGCATGTGAGGGAGGGGAAGCGGGTGTGTGTGTCCTTGTATGTGTGCACGCGCGTGGATGTGAGAGTGAGTACGTGTGTTAGCAAGATATTGAGTTCAGATGCTCGCGTGTAAGTGGATGTGTGTGTGTGCGTGCATGCGTGCGTGCGTGCGTGCGTGCGTGCGTGCGTGCGTGCGTGCGTGCGTGCGTGCGTGTGTGTGTGTGTGTGTGTGTGGGTGTGTGAGTGTGTGTGTGTGTGTGTATGCGAGTGTGCGAGAGCAAGAGGTTGAAACTTGAAAGGAAAGGGAGAACGGCGTGGGACAACACAGCAAGGTGCATGGGGCTAAGGGAAGCCAGGAAGCGGTCAGCATCTCCCGCTCATCCCAGTTGTCTCCAGCATCTCCCGCTCAAGGGCACGAGTGGAATGGACCCCACCATGCTCACAGTGTGAAGCCATTCTCTTGAATTACAAGCCTCACACCGTGCCCCACCTCTTTAAGACGGTCCATCATCCCTGCCTGTCTGCCTGCCTGCCTGCCTGCCTGCCTGCCTGCCTGCCTGCCTGCCTGCCTGCCTGCCTGCCTGCCTGCCTGCCTGCCTGCCTGCCTGCCTGCCTGCCTGCCTGCCTGCCTGCCTGCCTGCCTGCCTGCCTGCCTGCCTGCCTGCCTGCCTGCCTGCCTGCCTGCCTGCCTGCCTGCCTGCCTGCCTGCCTGCCTGCCTGCCTGCCTGCCTGCCTGCCTGCCTGCCTGCCTGCCTGCCTGCCTGCCTGCCTGCCTGCCTGCCTGCCTGCCTGCCTGCCTACCTGCCTGCCTGCCTGCCTACCTGCCTGCCTGCCTGCCTGCCTGCCTACCTGCCTGCCTGCCTGCCTGCCTGCCTACCTTGTTGACTGCATGCGTCCCACACGCTCTCACAGCGCTAGAACAATCCATCCATGCAGTGCTTGCATGCATGCCCCTCCATATGCATGCATGCAACTCCGGCCGGCCGGACTGCATGATGGCTAAGATAGGAACAGTTTCTACCCGTTGTGGAGTTTTGAGGCGCCTCAAAAGTCGCCTGCATGATGGCTAAGACAGGAACAGTTTCTACCCGTTGTGGAGCATGCATCCATGCATGAGTGATGCTGCACGGGTGATCCTGCATGGGTGATCCTGCATGGGTGATCCTGCATGGGTGATCCTGCATGGTTGATGCTGCATGGGTGATCCTGCATGGGTGATGCTGCATGGAGGCTCACCAAGGTCTTGGTATACGCCATGAAACTACTGTGATTTCTTAGGCGCCCCAAAAACCACCGCAATAAACTCACCAAGGTCTTGCTGTACGCCATGAGATTGCTGGAGACCTTTACCTCTGCTTGCTGTCATCCACACACGGAGGAAGGGGTGAGGGAGAGGCAACATGGGGGACGGGGTAAGTGAGGCAACAAGGCGGGAGGAGTTGGAGGGGTTGGGGGGAGGAAGAGAAGAGGGTTAGAGGGCACGACACCGTGGGAAGGAAGAGAATCAGAGCACTGCATGGGGGCGTGGGGAGAAGACTTTTGAGTCGACTCAAAAGTCACAACAAAGTGGGAGGAGAGAGCATCAGAGCACTGCATGGGGACATGGGGAGAAGCACAGGCAGAAGCAGCCAGGGCAACCAATACAACTGCGCTGCACCCAAGCCAGGGACGCAACACAGCACACTTGCTCTTGCAGCACCGCGCCGCACCACAAAGCACAGCACAGCACCACACAGCACTGCGTGCGCATGCAAGCTGCCCTCCCGTGCGCGGCTCACCACAGCAGAGCTCCCAGCAGCAGCAGCATCGCCGTGCATGAGCTCCATCCTAGCCAGCCCGTACCCGCTGCGAGAGAAGCTCACTCTTAATTTGAGGCGCCTCAAAAGTAGACAGACTCACCACAGCGGAGCTGCCAGCAGCATCGCCGCGCATGAGCTCCATCTTGGCTAGCCCATACCCGCTGCGAGAGAAGCTCACTCGCGCCCACGCCCCGCCTCCCCCGCCGCCTCCCCCTCCTCCTGCTGCCGCAGCAGCAGCAGCTGATGGAGCGAATGGGGATGGCCCTCCGAGAACGATGCTGTCCTCCTGTGCCTCCGCGCTGCCATGTGGTGCCGCGCTGCCATCTGCCTCTGCGCTGCCGTCTGGGTCGTCAGCAGCGGCAGCAGAGGCCCCGTGTAGCGGCACCTCGTCGAACCGCTCGCTGCTCTTGCTCGCTGCGCCTTCTGCGCCTGGAATTGCATAACAAGGCGTGGAATTGGGAACAGAGGGGGCGACAGAGGGAGACACAGACAGGGGGAACAGAGGGGGGGAAGAGAGGGGGAAAGCAGAGGATCCAGCAAGAGAGAATGGGTGGAAACATGGGGGGGAGGAGGAGGGGGGAAAGCGAGAGGGATATCTTGGGTAAGAACTGCATGTTAGCCGACTGTGCCTTCCATTGCTCAATCTGCCTGTACCAGCACTCGCGTTAGTACAAAGGACCGTTTGAGAGCGCAGCGCTGCACCGAGTGCCCCACCTGCCAGCAATCCTAATCCTACCTACCACCGTTCTTGGCATATCACAAGGCGCCAACCTCCCGCTAACACCACCAGTCGTGCTTCCAATCCAAGTTGCAGCTTCAGCCACCCACCCACCAAGTTCCCACACTCTCCGACCCAGCACCCTCATCCTCCGACACTCCTTTCCCCACCACCACCACCTCCACCTCACCCTCCCCGTCCCTCTCCCCCTCCCCTTCCTACTCTCCCTCTCTCTCCCCTTCCCCTTCCCTTTCCCCCTCCCTCTCCGTTCCCCCTCGCTGTCCTGCGCGCACCTGGCTGAGCGGGGGAGAGGAAGAAGGACGCATAGCCCAGCGGCGGCACCAGCGCCTCAAACACCACGCTCAGCACCGCCGTAGAGCCGTCCGGCCCAGGGACCACGTCGGGCTGCCTCACGCCCGCGTGCGCGTTCACGAGCACGGAGCGCAGGCGCGGCGGCACCAGCCCCTCAGCTACTATCTGTGCTGCCACCACTCGCCCCGCCGCATCCCTCACCTCCACCCCTGCCGACGCCACCTGGGGTGGGAGGGAGGGGGAAGGAGGGCGGAAGTGGGGGGGGGAAGGGAGAGGGATGTAAGAGAAGGGGTGTGGAGGTGAAAGAATGGGTGAGTGAGAAATGGGGTGTGATATGTCACGGAGCGCAGGCGCGGCGGCACCAGCCCCTCGGCTACTATCTGTGCTGCCACCACTCGCCCTGCCGCATCCCTCACCTCCACCCCTGCCGACGCCACCTGGGCGGGTGGGGGGCGGACAGGGGGGAAGTGGGCGTGTGGAGGTGAGAGAATTGCGATTGGGGGGGTGTGGGGTGGAGTGTGAGGCGTGCAGGAAGACAGCAGGTGGGGGGATAAACCTGGGTGTGATCGGGAATTTGCTGGGATGTGTGAGGTGGCTTACCGGGAAGCGGATGATCTCAGAGCGAGCCCAGGCGAGGGGGTTGTATGCCACAACGACCTGAAGACAGGGGATAGAGAATGAGAGGAGGCAGACACGCGAGAGACGGATACGCGAGAGACAGATAGGGAGAGACAGACAGGGAGAAACAGACAGGGAGGGACGGACAGGGAGAGACAGACACGCGAGAGACGGATACGCGAGAGACAGATAGGGAGAGACAGACAGGGAGAAACAGACAGGGAGGGACGGACAGGGAGAGACAGACAGGTGAGAGACAGACAGGTGAGAGACAGACAGGTGAGAGACAGACAGGTGAGAGACAGACAGGTGAGAGACAGACAGGTGAGAGACAGACAGGTGAGAGACAGACAGGTGAGAGACAGACAGGTGAGAGACAGACAGGTGAGAGACAGACAGGTGAGAGACAGACAGGTGAGAGACAGACAGGTGAGAGACAGACAGGTGAGAGACAGACAGGTGAGAGACAGACAGGTGAGAGACAGACAGGTGAGAGACAGACAGGTGAGAGACAGACAGGTGAGAGACAGACAGGTGAGAGACAGACAGGTGAGAGACAGACAGGTGAGAGACAGACAGGTGAGAGACAGACAGGTGAGAGACAGACAGGTGAGAGACAGACAGGTGAGAGACAGACAGGTGAGAGACAGACAGGTGAGAGACAGACAGGTGAGAGACAGGACAGGTGAGAGACAGACAGGTGAGAGACAGACAGGTGAGAGACAGACGGTGAGAGACAGACAGGTGAGAGACAGACAGGTGAGAGGACAGACAGGTGAGAGACAGACAGGTGAGAGACAGACAGGTGAGAGACAGACAGGTGAGAGACAGACAGGTGAGAGGACAGACAGGTGAGAGACAGACAGGTGAGAGACAGACAGGTGAGAGACAGACAGGTGAGAGACAGACAGGTGAGAGACAGACAGGTGAGAGACAGACAGGTGAGAGACAGACAGGTGAGAGACAGACAGGTGAGAGACAGACAGGTGAGAGACAGACAGGTGAGAGACAGACAGGTGAGAGACAGACAGGTGAGAGACAGACAGGTGAGAGACAGACAGGTGAGAGACAGACAGGTGAGAGACAGACAGGTGAGAGACAGACAGGTGAGAGACAGACAGGTGAGAGACAGACAGGTGAGAGACAGACAGGTGAGAGACAGACAGGTGAGAGACAGACAGGTGAGAGACAGACAGGTGAGAGACAGACAGGTGAGAGACAGACAGGTGAGAGACAGACAGGTGAGAGACAGACAGGTGAGAGACAGACAGGTGAGAGACAGGACAGGTGAGAGACAGACAGGTGAGAGACAGACAGGTGAGAGACAGACAGGTGAGAGACAGACAGGTGAGAGACAGACAGGTGAGAGACAGACAGGTGAGAGACAGACAGGTGAGAGACAGACAGGTGAGAGACAGACAGGTGAGAGACAGACAGGTGAGAGACAGACAGGTGAGAGACAGACAGGTGAGAGACAGACAGGTGAGAGACAGACAGGTGAGAGACAGACAGGTGAGAGACAGACAGGTGAGAGACAGACAGGTGAGAGACAGGAGCAGGAGTGGAATGCATTTCCTAATTTTGTGGGATGATCGACATGCTTCTTCTCGTCAAGAGTGTCCATGAGTTGTAGATACAAGTCCTCTCAACCTCGTATGTGTGCAGAGCATGTGTTCTCAAAGCCCAAAGTGTATGTCTAAAAAACGTTTCTGCTCTTTCCACCGTAACCATTCCGCCCTCCGGTCCCACTACCCACCCTCATCCCCATGCATGCTCCCTCCCTTCTTCCCTCCCTCCCTCCCTCCCTCCCTCCCTCCCTCCCTCACTCCCTTCCTCCCTCCTCCCTCCTCCCTCCCCCTCCCCTTCCTCCCTGCTCCCTGAGGGCGCACCAGAGTGGAGGAGGGCGACAGCGGCAGCTGAGAGGGCGGGCAGAAGGAAATGTTTAGCAGAGGGCACTGCAGGGGGGGAGGGGTGGATGGGGCAGGTGGCGGACAGGGGGGGTAAGGAGCACAGGGAAGGGGAGAAGTGGATGAGATGGGGAGAAAGGGTTGAGCAGGGGAGAAGGGGAGAAGGGGAGAGCAGGGGAGAAGGGGAGAAGGGGAGAGCAGGGGAGAAGGGGAGAAGGGGAGAGCAGGGGAGAAGGGGAGAAGGGGAGAGCAGGGGAGAAGGGGAGAAGGGGAGAGCAGGGGAGAAGGGGAGAAGGGGAGAGCAGGGGAGAAGGGGCTGAGCAGGAGAGCAGGGGCCAGGGAAGGAATGAATGTACAGCAACAAGGGAAGAGAGGCAAGGAGAGAGTGTCGAAAGCAGGTGGGGAAGGGGGAGAGGCATGAAACAGCGCAAGCGGCAAGAGCAGTGAGCCCGTCTGGGTGTGCAGGCAGTGCAGGGCGTGCAGGCAGTGCAGGGCGTGCAGGCAGTGCTACGATACAACCCAGGCGCAACCAAAGTGCAGCAGGGGAGGGGAGCAGGCAGAGTAGACAGAGCAGCAGCAACAACAGCAACAGAAGCAGCAGCAGCAGCAGCAGCAGCAGCAGCAGCAGCAGAAGGCAGGGCAACACTACAGCAGAGAGGCAACCTAAGGCAGTCAGGGGAAGTCAAGAGCACATGCATGGCGCAGTACCAGGGCGAAGTCAAGTGCAGGCATGGCAGCACTTGGGTCACTGGAGTTACTCGGGTCTCCTGACCCGCCCGTGAGCCCTCTGCCAGGCCGCCTCCTCCTTCCTTCATCCCTCCACCGCTCACCCATCCCCTCCCCCTCCGCCTCCCATGCCCCTCCCTGCTGCCCCTCTCCTCCCTCAGCCATCTCAACTCCCCCATCTCCCCGCCACCCCACTCCCAGCAGCCGCCTTCCCAAACGACCTTCCCCTCCCCCGTCCCCTTCCCCTTCCCCTTCCCCTTCCCCCTCCCCCTCCCGCACCACCTCCATAGGCACCCGCCTCCACGCTTCCCCTGGCCCTGCTGCGCCTTCTCCCCCCCCCCCTCCTCCCTGCTCCCCTTCCCCTCGTGCTGCTGCTACTGCGGCCTGCCACGCCTGCTGCCTCTGAAACCACTGCGGGTCCACGCGTATACCCGCCTCCCCACCCTGTCCACGCTCTGGGTAGGAGTTCTGGGGAGGACCCTCCGGGACAGGCTCGGTAAATTGTTCTGGCAAAGGCCGGCGATAGGGGAAGGGCATCTCAGGCCTGGGCATGGGGTTTGGCGTTTGGCCCGCCGCTGCTGCTGCTTCTGCAGCTGCAGCTATGGTTGCTGGGCTTATAGCAGGAGTGCCCCCTTGTTGCTGCTGCTCCTGCCATTGCTGCTGCTGCTGCCGCATCATCTCTTGCTGCTGCTGTTCTTGCTGCTGCTGCTGCTGCTCCAGCTCCTGCTGCTGCTGCTGCTGCTGCTGCTGTTTCTTGATTGCGGCTGAGAGCAAGGCAGTGTGCGCGCCTTTGGTAATGAGATACACGAGAGCTGATGTGAGCACTTGAGATGCCTGCCACGGATGGTGCGAGGGAGTAAGAGAGGCGCAGAGAAGAACGGGGGACAGCAGGAGGAGCAAGACGAATGGAGGGAGAGAGGGAGATGCAGAGGGAGTGGTGGAGGGAGGGATGTGGGCGGGTGAACTGTATGCAAGGAAAAGGCTGGTTAGAGTGGATGATCTCTACGAGTCAAGCCATTAAGCCATTCACTGGTAACACTACATCACGCCACTCTGCAGAATCCCCTACTTTACCCCTATCTTCATCTCATCCCACAACCCTCTCCTCTTCCACAGCCTATGCCCCCACCCCTCCTCTCATCCTCTCCTCACCTTCACTCCCTCATCCTCTTCTCATCCCCTCCTCCCCCCATCCCCTCCCCTCCGCACCTCCACAGCACCAGCATGCAGGCGCAGCGAGTAGTCATCATTCATTCATTCATATGCTGCTTGGCCGTGCCGGCGTTGGCATGGCGTCATGGTGCTGGGCTGGGCAGTTGTCACCGCATCCTCTAAGCGACTGTTGAGTCTGACTAGAAAAACGCACCTCCACAGCACCAGCGTGCAGGCGCAGCGAGTAGTCGTCATTCACATGCTGCTTGGCCGTGCCAGTAATAGCATCATGGTGCTGAGCTGGGCAATCGCTACTGCATCTTCCAGGTGACTATTGAGTACACACAAACTCACACGCACCTCCACAGCACCGGCATGCAGGCGCAAAGAGTAGTCATCATTCACATGCTGCTTGGCCGTGCCTGTAATAGCATCATGGTGCTGAGCAATCGCGACCGCATCCTCTAACCTAGCCGTTGACGCCACGCCTGCCACCACCCGCCGCCACCCCTCACCCCCCGGGCACGCCTCCTCGTGTGCTTCGCACGCCTCTACTCGCTGCGCTGCCATGCGCCCCTCCTCCTCCCCCCACTGCTCCAGCACCCCCCGCCCCACCAACGCCTCCGCTGCTGTGCTCGCCTGGTGGTGGCGCCCCCACAGGCCGCAGGAACATTGGGGGAAAAGGGAGAGTAGCGGAGGGGTGGGGGAATGGGGGAGGAAGGGGGGGGGAGGGGAGGGGAGAGGGGGTAGAGGTGACAGGTGGGAAGTAGAGATAGGGCAAGAGAGGAGAGGGCGGGGAAGGGGTAGAGGAGAGGGGGGTTGGCTTTGGAGAGTGAGAGCAAGGCGTAGAGGAGGTGGAGAGTCAATGCAGCACTTTAGAGAAGTCTCAAAAGTGGCTCCGATATAGGAGGAGGCAGGCGGACAGGGGTCTTCCCAGGGAGTAGTGAAGGGTGCGGAGTGGTGAACTGAATGAAGGTATGGACTTGGGCACCGGGTCATGCCAAGGCATGGAGGGGCAGAGAGGAAGTGCAGGAAGGGGTGTGAAAGGAATGGATCAAGACAAGGGCCGGAGAGGTGGAGCAAGGGAGTGAGGTGAGGGCTTACGAGGAGGAGGGAGCTGCAGAGGCGAGCAAAGTACTTGAAGGAAGGGCGGCTGGAGAAGTAACCTGTCCAGTAGGACGACTCATACTCATCGTAGCTGCGTGTGGCGCACACACAGGATAGGAGGAGGGGGGGTGTGGAGACAGGTAGGAGGAGATTATGTGTTACTTGGTGCAGGCAGGGGAAGGCAGGTGGAGAGGACAAAAACGAGTTAACACGATTGTGGCAGTGAGTTAACCGATAAGTGAGTGTGAGTGAGTGAGTGATGCTGGGTGTGAGCTGTGCTGTCTACGAGGGCATGACTGAACAAGGTAACACAGGAAGTGCAAACGAGCAAGGGGCCGACCTGTGTGGTACGCAATTGAAAGCATGCCAAAGTAAAACCATGTACAGTTAATCCAAGTATGGCACTCATAATCAGAGTTCTTTTCAATCGACCAGTCTCAACTCAGCAGCGGCGCCAGAGCAAACAGCTGATGGGATTTGATTTGACGTCAATTATGGAAAGCACCATTTCTGCGTTTCTTAGTCAGCAAGATTTGACCAAGTAGGCAGACAGGCAGGCAGGGAAGAGGGGCAGAGCTGTGGAAGGGCCGGGAGGCACGCACGGGAACATGTCTCCTGTTCTGGTGGGCCACGTCTCATTGGCGCGATGCTTGGCGTCCACATACATGGCTGGCGTGGAGTAGAGCACATTCACTCGCCCGTCCTGTGGTTGCCATGCACACATGCACGCATGCACACACATGCACACATGCACGCATGCACACACATGCACACATGCACGCATGCACACACATGCACACACACACATGCACACACACACATGCGCACACACGCATGCACACACACGCATGCACACACACGCATGCACACACACGCATGCACACACACGCATGCACACACACATGCACACACACACACATGCACACACACACATGCACACACACGCATGCACACACACGCATGCACACACACGCATGCACACACACGCATGCACACACGGAAGCACACCCGAGAGAGGCAGAGTTGGGGAAAGAAAGGCAAGGGGCGGAAGCAGAGGAGAAATCAGGACGGAGGGGAGGGATAGCAAGTGATAGGACGAGGAGTGAGCAAGGGAAGGGAGGGGCGACGTGAGTGGAAAACCATCATCGGGGAAGGGGTGGAAGGGACGGATGGGGAGGCAGGGTGGGAGGTGGGCCGTAGATGCCAGAGTGGATACATGTGGGAGCTGTTTCTTGTGGGAAGAATGTGTGAACGGAAGAGAGATAGAGAGAGGGCGTGGGAGCGGGTGTGGGAGAGGGTGTGGGAGAGGGTGTGGGAAAGGGTGTGGGAGAGGGTGTGTGGGGGGCGTACGAGGTTGACGTAGTGAATGAGTTTGTCGAGGTTGGAGAACCATGGCAGCGCATCCGTGTGTGAGAAGTCCTCCCCCATGGTCCACATGATGTGATCCGTGCGGTAACTGGCCGCCTGCATGCCATGCCATGCAATGCCGTGCCATGCCATGTGCTCACGCCCGCCCACGCACAGGCAGACACGTACACATGCGTGCACACATGCTCCCGAGCATGCGGATACATATGCACATGCATGTACACATGCTTTCCAACAGGTAGGCATATGCGCACATGTATGCTCCAGCACCGGTGCCCACCAACACATGCATGCTCACATGCGCCCGCACAGGCACACAGATGCCCCTTCACGCCCCGAAACACACACACCCACACACGCACAGACACGCACAGACACGCACAGACACGCACAGACAGACACATGCAAAGCAGTTGAGGAAGATGGGCAGAGGCAGCCAAGAAGGCAACATAATGTACCAGTCTGCACTACTCACCCACTCAACCAGTCATGCACCCACCCACCCACCCACCCATCAGCCATGGCACAGATGCCACCCTGCCTACCAATCCGGCCAATGTTACGCCCACTCAGTACCCACCGCGGATAAGTACCCACCCCATGCAAACCCCACGATTCATTGCACTCCAATGATAAGTGCCCTCAATTCAACCCCCCTTCTCCGATTCACTGCAAACCCCCATTCGTACACAACCCCCCCATTCACCCAATTCACCACCACATCCCACTAATTCACCGCACCCCCCATTCACCGCATCCCCCATTCACCGCAACCCCCCATTCAGCACACTCCCCCATTCAGCACACTCCCCCATTCACCACACTCCCCCATTCAGCACACTCCCCCATTCACCACACTCCCCCATTCACCACACTCCCCCATTCAGCACACTCCCCCATTCAGCACACTCCCCCATTCAGCACACCTGCTGGAAGGCCGCTTTGACAAACGTGTCGACTCGCTGCTTCACATTTGTCTCTGTCTCCGAGGACCAGAGGTTATCCTGCATTGCCGCACACACACACGCATGCACTCCCACCCATGCACACATACACATGCGTGGACACACACACATACAGTCACACACACACACACACACACACACACACACACACACGCACACACATGGCATGCAATGCAACACACACACACACGCACACATGGCATGCAATGCAACACACACATAAGGCTAGTCACACGGCCATGGCATGGAGCGCATAAATGGCATGAACGCACACATGCATGCATGCCACGCAAGGACGGACGTGTGGCGTGCACAAACACACATGCCATCACACACCTTACCAAGGAGAACTTCCCATGGAGATGTTTGAAGACAGGAGGAGAGGAGGCACAGGAGGAAAGGAAGACAGGACATGCCGAGACGAGAGCAACATGTTACCTTACCTTGACTCGTTTTGACCGCTTTCACTCCCGCTCACCCACCTTGACCCACATTGACTCGCGTTGACCCACCTTGACTCGCGTTGACCCACCTTGACTCGCGTTGACCCACCTTGACTCGCAGTGACAGGTCATCTGCCGCCTCCCACTTGAAGAGCTCTGGAGGATAGTAGGTGTAGCGGTCCAGAATGCCCGTGAACACCTGCCGGTGCACCCACGCGTGCGACGCGAGGGGGGTAAAGGGGGGTAGGGAGGACGGGAATGTTGGTGGGTGGGAGAAATAGAGTTCAGCGCCACTTGCAACCAGCAGCAGCAGCAGCAGAGGCAGCAGCAGCAGAGGCAGCAGCAGCAGAGGCAGCAGCAGCAGCAGCACCAGCAGCAGCTAGCTAGGTACACACCGTATCAGGCATGAAGTGAATATTCCCTCCTCCCAATCTCACTCGCCCCTATCGTGTTCCCATGGCACATGGGCTGGGCCCCGTTCTTCCAACAACCTCTCACGAGTCCCCCCGCGCCTTTCACTCGCCCCACTCCTCTCCCCACCCACTGGCACTGCCCACTCCCCACCTGCACGCCCCCCCCCCCACCTGTGCATCGCGGCCAAAGGTCTGGGAGGCGCGCCAGAGGAACTCGGAGGTGCGCTGGTCCTTACGCCGCCGGCCCTCCTTTATGTCCACGCGCCCCACAAACACCGCATCCATGCCCGCCTGCCACACGGGGGAGGAGGGGGAGGAACGTGGGGGGGGAAGGGGAGACGATGTAGGTTGCTGGGGGCTTGGCATGTGCGCGGTGGGAGAGTGTGCGTGCGCCTTGCGGCGCCGGCCCTCCTTGATGTCTACTCGCCCCACAAACACCGCGTCCATGCCCGCCTGCCTCCCGGGGAAAGAGGCGCGAAGAGAGACAGGCTTAGAGGCCAGCCCAGTTGGGAGGCGGAGGGAGGAGTGGGGCAGGCGATGTAGGTAGGTAGGTAGGTAGGTAGGTAGGTAGGTAGGTAGGTAGGTAGGTAGGTAGGTAGGTAGGTAGGTAGCTGTGGGCTTGGCAGGTGTGCGGTGAGAAGGGAGCGCTGGGCCCTGCGGCGCCGGCCCGCCTTGATGCCCGACCTTGCTGGCGTACAGTCGAGTGCACCTGCCGGTTAGCGGGAGACGGGCGCAACGCACCTGAGCGGGACTGGGGGGCGGCAACGCACCTGGGCAGTGAGCAGGTAGCCCTGTGTGGCGGAGTGACCGAAGGGGTCGACCTGCCAGGTGATGCGTGGCACGGCGTTGAACTCTCGCTTGAGGAAGCGGTGGCCCAGCGACATCTGGTGCAGCATGTCCGTGTAATGCACACACGCCTCGTCATGCATCACCCACCCGCCGTTGCTGCCATGCCAAGGCACCCGCCGGCATAGGGGGGATCAGGAAATTCGGGGGAGAAGATGGATAGGGAGGTGGGGTGAGGACACGTGGTAGTGGGCTGGGCGCAACAGGTAGGTGTGGAAGGGGTGGTGGGCGTGGAAGGGGGGCGGAGGGAGGGGAAGGGGAGGAGAGGAGCAAGAATAAAGGGAGTAAACGAGGGATGGCATGGCAGGAGCGTGAGTGGGTGCCGATACACGAACGTGAGGTCCCACGGGTCCTCACTCAAGGGGAAGAGCAGCAAGGCGTGTGAGTGGGTGTCGAAGGAGGGGGTGGATGGAGAGGGGAAGGGTTGGAAAGGAGAGCGGGGGTGCGTAATTGCGTGAAATCAAGGAGGGAGCCGGGAGAGACAGAGGGGTTGGGTTGGGCTGCGGGGAAGAAGCGAAGGGGGAGGGCAGGGCAGGGCAGGGCAGGGCCGGGCAGAGAGACGGACGTGAATTGGAGCTGGTGGTTGGCGACAAGGGTCTTGACTCGTGCACGCATGTAGTCGGACTGCTGCTGCCACCACCGGTAGAAGAAACCCTGTGTGGGAGCCATGCACCACACACACACGCGCGCACGCGCACACACACGCGCGCACACGCACACACACACGCGCGCACGCACACGCACACACAGGCGTGCGCACGCACACGCACACACACGCGCGCGCGCGCACGCACACACACACACACACACACACACACACATACACACACACACACACACACACACACACACACGTTCTTTCTCTGCCCTCTGCTCATGCGTCGATTTTGCGTAGGGGAGGGCAAGTGAGGTAGGGTAGCCATGTGGGTGGCTGATGACTGCTCTATGAGAGTGTGTAACTCGTGTCCATCAGTTAGTTTGTGCGTGCCTGTTAGTGTGCGTGCGTGCGTGCGTCCGTGCGTGCGTGCGTGCGTGCGTGCGTGTGTGAGTGAGTGAATCGTTTTTTAGAATTCTCAGAGCTAAAAGCCAAGCAGCAGCAGCAACAGCAGCAGCGCGCGGGAAGGCGGGCATGCGGGCGGGAGTGAGCGCACCTGTTCCACCTGCACGAACTTGCGGTGCGGGTTCACCTCCAGGTTCGCCACCACCGAATCTATGATGTGCGCCACCTGCTCCTCCTGTTGCGCCCGCGCGCAGGGGGGGAAGCGGCACCCGCCAGGGGGGAAGCGGGGAAGGGGACGAGGCGGAAGGGAGGGGAAGGAGCGGGAATGGGGGCGAAAAGGTGCTGGTGAATGGGCTGGTTCGAATCGCCATCACGTTCACCTCAGGGCTCGCCGCCTCGCCTCGACACCTTCGTAGCAGCCAGGGGGAGTGGGTGAATGCGGGGGGGGGGGGGGGGGGGGGGGGGTGAGCGAAGAGCAGCGGCGCAGCAGCGCAGTAGCAGTACCACAACTATTTATTGATTGTGACAAATGGAACCCGTTGAGTCGACTCCGCCTCGGAGTCAACCCGTTGACCGCGTCGTCGTCCGTGCACTTCACACGTTCGCCCGCACACTACCAGAGCTCCTCCGCAGCTGCCATCGCAGCAAAGTCCGCGAAGCGCCGCCGCTTTTTGCGCGAGGGCGATGGGAAAGGGCCCCTAACAGAATCCCCGGTCTTTTCTATTCGGGGGGAAAGGCGGCGCGAAAGCCCAAGGAGCAAGAGCGGGAGAGGGAGACGGAGAGGCGAGAGGGGGAGTCGACCGTGAGGCCGCTGCTCGTGTCGTGTTTGTTCCGATCGAATACCCCGCAGCCGCGGTGTTCGGCGGGACGTTCGGCAAGCGGCGGAATTCAATGGGGACGCATGAAGTTCGCACAGCCGCCGACTCTCTGCGACAGCACGCGGGACGTCACGTGGTTGTTACTAGGTGGAGGGATGGTATTGCTGGGGGACTGAATTAGCCTGCTGAAAGACCGCGGCTCGTGACGCGACTATTAGCTGATGACACTGCTACCGCCCGCAATTCCCGGCGGCGCGGCGAGCACATAGTACTGATCGACGGTCGAGAGCCACCCGATGTCGTCGTGCGAGTGCACCACGAGGTGCACGTTGAGCTTGCCGTCCGCCACTCCCGCGCTCGTGTTGTACCCCACGTGACGCGCCGCCATCAGCCCTGGCAACACGTCGCCCCCGCCATTCCACCCCCCTCGATCGCCCAGACCGTCCTTGAGCCTGCCCTCACCCGCCGCGTTCCCCGCCGCGTCCCCCGCCGCGTCCTCTGCATGACTCGTGGAGTTGTCGCCGTTGCTATCGTAGTAATTGCGGAAGAATGCCGCGGGTGGCGTGCCGCCGATACCGCCTACGGTGGAGGTGAGGTGCTGATGGACAAATAGGAGAACGACACCTGTCACAACGCCGATTACGAACGTGGGGGCGTGAAAAGTAACGCGTGCCTGCCACTGCGCGGCGGACAACGGGGCAGTCATGGGTACCGCTGCTGGCGTTGTTGCTACTAACTAATTACAACCCATCAACATTCTGAGATTGTATGACGATTTGGTGAATCATATAAGGGATCGTCTCTGCTAGGACAGTTGAACGAAACCTGGAATGGTAGCGGAGAAACAAGAATACCAACGACAATCAAGCTTGGTGCATCATCTCCGAGTCTGGTATGGACCAGAAGCAAAGGTAGCCCTGTTTTCTTCACGGGTCGCGAAACATAGGTCCTGACCTGAGTCTCTCAACATTGTTCCGAAAATGCAGCTCAGAAATGGTTATCCGTACAGTAAATATCTGGAATGCCGGGTGCATCGTTCTGTTGTGAACCGCAAAGACAAAAAAACTGGATGCTGTTGCAAAGCGGGAAACATTGCGACAGTCCACATTCCGCGTTTCGAAATGTTGGTGACACATGTTGTTGTGATCGACACTTTACATCCAGAGTGACTACAAATGTTCTTCAAGTACAGTACACCTAGGGAGGTGAACGGGTGGGCGCAACAGAGGTGTGTGGAGCTGGCCTTTCTTCTCGGAAGTAATAATCCCGGCTGCAACAGACCCGTCGATCCAGAGAAAACCCCGCTAAGCGTGGTGTTGTGATGTCGCACCCAGTCGAAGTTGATGGGTTGGTTTCACGATCGCACTGATTTGTTCGGCTTGATTTTGGAGGTCACTGAACAGTAGTGCTTCCTCCACCCTCAAAACCAGACCCTTTATGAGAGCTTCTCTGGGAACATTAGCCCACCTCTCCTCCTCCCACGTTGGTGTATGCTCGGCTGGGGTCAGGCTACGCAACACATCGGTGTACAGTACTTTCTTCCTGGACCCGACACCTGTGCAAGAAATCGACGCAAATCGGCCTGCCCCGATTTCACCTCCACCACCACACACCATCTGGGCAAGCCAGACCAGGTACAGACACAGCGTATTTCCACTACAGGCTTGCTATTATATTTCACGGAATTGGTAAAATGCGCCAAAAATATTCCTGGTTCGCAACTTTCCCAGGAAGATGGTACAATTTAGGGCACAGTGAATTTTAGGGCACAGTGAATTTTACCGATCCATTTTACAGCCCTCGACCCATCTCTTCAACCTGTGTATGCCTCTTTCATGAATAATATATCATTCCTCCTTTCATCAGTTACTGGGTGGAATGATATATTATTCATGAAAGAGGCATACACAGGTTGAAGAGATGGGTCGAGGGCTGTAAAATGGATCGGTGAATTTTAGGGCACAAAAATAATGTCGGTGTAAATGTGCAGGTGGTAACAATTCGAATGCCATTCAAAAGAAGGTGTTGGTGACATCCCTTGTTGTGAGTGGTCAACCGCTCAGACTGTCCAGTAAATGACTTCATCTCAAAGTTTGAGATGAGTGACTGTTGTTGCGAACGGGATGGGATATTAGATGGGAAATGCTCTGTTTCCAGATAGAGCTTCATGTGTACAACGACTGTATGCAATGTATAGTGTATCTCATCTAAACGAAATTTTCTGTATTTCCTTTAGACGTCCATAGTTTTGTTTAAACGTATTTTTTTCATTCTGCCATCTCATGGTGAAATTGGTGAAATTTGACAATACCTAAAAAATGAGTAACAATAACTCTATACAATGTGATGTGCCATCAGAGTGAAAGGCGCTCTTTTCAAGTAAAACAGCCGGATCCTGCTACTCCTGCTGCCACTGCCACTACTCCTGCTGCTGCTACTACTGCAACCCTTGGCTCACTCTTAACTCAAAGAACTGAACCAGGCTCTATATCCTACCACACCACACACTACTCTGCCACTCCCCCTGCCACACGCCCGCGGCCGCTCCCCAGCGCCTGCACTGCAGCAGGCCCCAGCACAGCAGCCAGCACATGGTCCAGCTCCTGCACGCGGCTCAGCAGCAGGTCTCGGTCTGCCAGCACCTTCTCTGGCCACTTGGCTAGTGAAATCAAGACTGCTATTAGGGTGCTACTGCTACCCATTGACTCGACTCGAGGTGTGCACTCACCCTCACACTACTCCACCGCACCCCCTTCCGCCCCTTCCCCTGCACCTGCAGCAGGACCCAGCACAGCAGCGAGCACATGGTCCAGCTCCTGCACGCGGCTCAGCAGCAGGTCTCGGTCTGCCAGCAGCTGTTGCAGCGCCGCGTGCTGCTGCTGCGCTGCTGCCTCCACTGCCTCCATTGCTGCCGCTGCCTCCCCCGCTGCTGCCGGTGCTGCTGCCATGGCTGGTTCTGCGGGCTGTTGTGCGGTTGCGGCCTTCAGAGATGCAATGGCGGTGGAAAGCTGGGTGTGCGGAGGGGAGACGGGGGAGGGAAGGGAAGGGAGGGAAAGCGAGGGGACCGGAAGGGAGGAGATGTGAAGGGAAGGGAGGGGGAGTGGATGAGATGAGACAAAGGGGAATTATTCTGGTAGTGTGAAAGAGAGAAACCTGGGCCATCTAAGCAAGCACGGAAAAGAATGGTGTGATTATCTACTAGCATCCCTAAAAAAATAAAAACAATGGGAGGGAAGCAGGGAAGGGTGGGTTTTACATACCTTACAAAGTGCACAAGGAGGTGTATTCCGGATTGAGGGAGGGAAGGAGGGATGACGGATTGGGACACTCTGGCTCTAACACCATGGCACAGCACACACAAACGATATGGCACAAGACTCCCCACACCACACCACACACAGCCTTGCCCATAGCCACCACTCACCCTCTCGCACACTGCTGCCACTTGCTGTGCCCTTGGGTCATCCGACGCCGCTACCCCTCCTCCTGCCCCCGCTCCAGCTCCCAACCCCTCTGCTGCAGCAACAGACGAACCCGCAGCAGCAGCAACACCAGCCGCAGTGGCGGCAGTGGTAGCGGCGGCAGTGGTGGTAGCAGCAGCAGCAGTGGTAGCAGCAGTGGGAGGTGCAGAGGTGGGTGCAGCGGAGGGTGCAGCATGGCGCATGGCAACAGTTACACCGAGTTGACAATCGGGGTGGTCTGCACCAGCTAGGGGGAGCCAGCTGCATGGTGATGACACAACATGGGTGGAGAGGGGATTGGTTGGAAGAAACGGGGGAGTGAGGGAGAGAACAAAGACTCTCAAGCACAAAGAAGCTTGAGGTGGAAATGTGAGAGCGGACACTCGGATACAAAGAATCTCAGACAGGAAAAGGAAAAAGAAAAAAAAATAAGAAAACAAGAAAAAGAAAGCAATCAATTAAAGCACCGAGTAACAGTGCAGCGGCGCACCCATCACACGCTGCACTGCCCACACACACGCAAGCCACTCACAACTCGTGGGAGGACCCCGGGCGCAGGCCGCTATAGTCCACGCGGCATGACCCCAGGGGGAGAGCGGTGGAGAGGGAGAGAGCGAGGCCGTGTGGCTCCTTGACTGTGACCTCCAGGTCCTCACCCGTGTCGGGCAGGTCAAAGAGCGCTTGCCACTCTGGGGCTAGACTGCGATGCACCACCTGTTGGGGGGAGGGGGAGAGGGAGAGGGGGAGGGAGGTGGAGAGGGATAGGGAGGGAAGAGAGAGAGGGAGGGGGAGAGGAAGGGGGAGGGGGAGAGGGAGGGGGGGAGGGGGAGAGGGAGGGGGGGAGGAAGAGGGAGGGGGGGAGGGGGAGAGGAAGAGGGGGAGGGAGAGGGAGAGGAAGATGGGAACGGAGAGGGGGAGGGAGAGGGGGAGGGAGAGGGAGATGTGGGAGAGAAAAGAGGGATTGATGCTGTCTCCGCGAGGGTGAACAGTGAAGATTCCATTCCAGCTCCGCACCAGTGCTTTCCACTCTGGAGGCTGCTGAAATGTACCACCTGCGGCAGTGGGGAAAGGGGAGCGTGTGGGAAGCGGGGTAGGCAGGCGGGTAGAGGGAGGGGGGAGAGCAGGCAGGATCTGGGGAAGGGAGGGAGGGAAAGGGGAAGGGAGGGAACGAGCAGGAAGGGTAGGAGAGTGAGTGGATCAGCTTGACGAAAGTGGCTATGCACCTTTCCACTCACACCTCACACCCTACACACGCGTAGGTGCGTGTCTTGGTGGTGTGGATTCGACGCAACAGTCAATTTGAGCCAACCAACTCACAGGTCAGTGTCAGTGAGCAGGCAGGCCACATCACCCGGCGTGCACACTGCACGCACGCACACACGCACCTTGGTGCGGCGCTTGGTGGCGCCATAGCGCACAGTAGCGTACGTGTCGGGTGCCTTGCCCTTGGCAGCCACAACAGCAGGGTGCGATGCCAGCCCACGCACGCCCACCACCGTCACCTGCAGCCGCCGCGATGACACCGCACGGTCCTTGCGTGACAGGGCCTGACGGGAGAAGAGGAGGGCGCGGTGTGCCAGGGGGAAGAGGGGAGAGGGGACTATTTTTGAGTCGACTAAAAAATAGACTCATCACACAACACTGCACAATCCTTGCGTGACAGGGCCTGATGGGAGAAGAGGAGGGCGCGGTGTGCCAGGGGGAGGAGGGGAGGGCGGTAGAGAAGAAGAGGGAGGGTAGAAGTAGACGCTTTTTAGGCGCCGCAAAATTAGACCTCCACACGCAAGCCCACCACTGTCACCTGCAGCCGCCGCGATGACACCACACCACACCACACGGTCCTTGCGCGACAGGGCCTGACGGTGGGGGAGGTGGGAGAGAGGGGTTTTGGAAGGGGGGGGGAGAGTGGGGAGGAGAAGAAGAGGGACGGTAGGGGTGGACGCTGCTGGGGTGCCTGAAAAGAAGACCCCATGCACTCTCACCACTGTCACATGCAGTCAGCATGATGACACTGCACGGACCTTGGCTGACAGGGCTCGACAGGAGGAGGGAGGGGGTGGGGCTCATGGGGAAGGTACGGGCGGAAGGGAATGAGAGGTAGGCCAAGGATTCGAGGGCCGCATTTCCAGGATAGGATAGGAACCAGGAGCCAACGAGGTGACACGGTGCAGGCCTTGCACAGAAACAACAGACAGGGATAGGTACTAGGCTGGGTGGGCGGAGAATGAGCAGAGGACTGTTAACACCAATTGGTGAGTCTGGGTCTGAACAGACGACCGCTACTAGGTGAGGGTTTCGGCTCAGTGCTCTAGAGGGACGTTCAGGGCTGCGCGTTTTTACACCACACTGTGACCTCCAAGAATACCCTAAGCACACCCAGGGTGGAGTGAGAGAAAGGGAAGGGGACTAACCCTAAGCACACTGCTTGGCCGCTTGCCAGTGCCCGTGCTTCCATCCACGCCCGCCGCACCATCTACCGCAATTCCTTCTCCCCCTCCTCCTCCTCCCGCTGCTGCTTCTGCCGTGGCGCCTGGCTCCAGCCCCTGTGCGTGCGGTGGCTCGAGAGCCAGCATGAGGTGCACGTCCCCTGAGCCTCCTGCCCCACCCATGGGCAGCCACAGCCCTGCATCACCCTGTAGTGCTGCCGGCTGGGTATGGGGGGAGAGGGGAGGGACGGCAGGGATGGGATGGGAGGGACGGGATGGGAGGATGGGAGGGGAGGGACAAAAGGGACGGGAGGGATGAGAGCATTGAGAGAAAGTAGGGAGGAGGGATGGGAGAGATTGGAAGGGTGAGGGTGTTACAGCCGAGCCAAATAACACAGGGCAGCACAATCGCACAGACCTGGAGGAAGAGAGAGGCGTGGCCGAGGGCGATGGGCGACCAGGGAGCGAGCGAGGAGAAGGCGAGGCAGCGCACGTGCAGCAGGGGCGCCGCCCCCGCCACCTCTCGCAGCTGCAGCGCGTCCCCCCACACGGGGTTGGCGTCTGGGATGGCCCTTGTGCGCACCCGTTGCTGCGGGAGGGGGCAGGGGATTGGTGGGGAGGAGTTTTGAGCTTAAAGGTTTGAGTTTTGAGTGGACACAAAGCGCAGCAGCAGAAGCTGCAGCGCGTCCCCTGACGCAGGGTTGGTGTTTTTTGAGTCGACTCAAAAGTCAGCAGAAGCTGCAGCGCGTCCCCTGACACATTGCTGGTGTCCGAAATGGCTCTTGTGCGCACACGGTGCTGGAAGAGCGGATGGGCCAAGGGGGTTGTGATGGAGGGAAACGGAGGGAGGGGATGAGAGTGGAGAACAGGGGAATTCAAGGGGAAGGGGTAGGGATAGTTGGAACTGAACTGGAGTCCAATGAGGAAAGGAGTAGATAGAGAAGAAAGATGGAAAGAGAATGGAGGTTGAAGGAAGGGAGGGAGAGGGGGCAGCAAGGAAGGGGAGACGGGTAAGGGGTGGGGAGGGAGAAGTGGGTGGGATGCGTTAGAAATGAGCACTTCCCAATGCTCCGGTCAACCTCCCCATGCATCCCCTCTCCCTTCTCCCTTCTCACTCGCCTCCCCACCATTTTCACTCACTCTCCCCCTCTCTCAGCCCCTGCGCCCCCACCCCACCCAACCCACCCCAATCCTCCCCCTCTCGCCCCATGGTACCTTGCCATATTCCACCTCCACCACTATCCCCGGCACTCCTCCCCCTGCGCCCTTGCCCCCCATGCCCACGCCCGTTGCTCTCCCGTCCCTGCTCTCCCACACGTGCCGCCCCTCCACCACTGTCACTCGGATGCTGCGCCCCGTGAACGAGGGGGGCGCGGGTGGGATGGCGGGCGGAGAGGAGGAGGAGGCGAGGAGGGAGGGGACGAGGTGCGGAGGAGGGAAGAGGGGTGGTGGAGTGAAGGGGAGCGAGGGAGTGGGGGAAGGGGCGGGCAACCAGGAGGGTGGAGAGAGACGAATGCGGATCTGAGAGGGAGAAAACGTGGGATGGGAGAGGGGGCGAGAGAGATAGAGGGAAGGAAAGGGATGAGTTGGGATCCGACGTGATGAGCAAGGAGCAGCGGGTGTGGAAGGGGGGAGGACGAAGCACAGGATGGCGAGGGGCAAGGGGGAATGGTTAAAGAGACATGCGCATCACAGAAAACCGGATTACAATAGAATCCCTAACAGTTAGTCGGCTGTTTGTGGACAAGCAGAAGCCCACCGTATGTATGTGCATGGAGTAAAAAACACGTGAAGTGCGCAGCGCAGAGGCGACGAAGCAGAGGAAATCATGGCAGAAGACAGGGCGGGAGGTTGGACGGACTGAGGGAGGGAGCAGGGAGGGAGCAGGGAGGGAGGCGGAGGAGGGGAGTAGCAGTGAAGGAGGGAAGGCTGAAGGAGTCTCACAGATCCTAAGGTAGAGGGGTAGTCGAGGGCGAGGGAGATGGTGACAGGGCGCAGGGAGGAGGGCGAGAGCGGCACACGGCGCACTACAGGCAGGCGGTGCGGACCCATGCCCCACAGCACGGCGTAGGGGGTGGCGTCCCCTGTGCTGCCGTCCACTCCCGTGTACGCCACCTGAGGGAGGGAGGGCGGGAGGGAGGGCGGGAGGGAGGGCGGGAGGGAGGGAGGGAGGGAGGGAGGGAGGGAGGGAGGGAGGGAGGGAGGGAGGGAGGGAGGGAGGGAGGGAGGGAGGGAGGGAGGGAGGGAGGGAGGGAGGGAGGGAGGGAGGGAGGGAGGGAGGGAGGGAGGGAGGGAGGGAGGGCATGCAGGAGAGGGTTGGAGGGAGAGAGAAGGAGAAATCTGAGCAGCAGAGGCAGCAGGGGGAGGTTGCAGGAGGGGGAAAAGTGGGGGCAGGGTGGAGGGGGGGGGGTTGGGAGGAGAGAATGATCAGTGCAGCAGAAGAGGGCAATGTGGACGCATGTAGACGTGTGCACAGAGAGGCACAGAGAGGCACAGAGAGGCACAGAGAGGCACAGGGACGCACAGGGACGCACAGGGAAGCACAGGCATTTGAACGGTTGTGAGCAAGATTGGCTGGTAGGTGAAGGGGAGAGGAGAAGGCAAGCTGTCTCACGTGCAGCTGTGCTGTTCCGAGCACCACACAAGAGGCCACACCCGCAGACCCGCCACCACCATCCCCTCCTCCTGCTGCTGCTACTGCCGCTGCACCATCGGCAGCGACAGCAGCAGCTGCTGCAGCCACTTTCCCGGAGAGCTCGCACACTCTGAGAGTGAGGGAGAAGCGCGGCCCATTGCCCCACAGCAGCATCGCGCCCTCCTCCCCTCCTGCCACCGCTCCTGCCACCGCTCCCCCTCCTGCTGCGCTTCCTTCCCCTGCATCCCCACCAGCAGCAGCAGCAGCAGCAGCAGGTGAGGAGGACCACTTGGGGTTTCGGCCTGAAGTGACGCTGGGCAAGGAAGCTCTACGTATCTCCCCACACTGCACCTCCACCACACATGCACCCACCACCGCCCCCCTCGTCTCCTCCCCTGCTGCCCCTGCTTCTGCCACTGGCGCTGGTGCCGTTGCAGAAGTAGCAGAAGCAGGAGGAGGGGCGTTGGGAGGAGAATTAGATGGACGGACGAGATTGGAGGCGGAGAGGAGGGAGAGCGAGAGGTAGCCACCCACAACGGAGGGGAGGGGAGCGGGAAGGAGGAGGGGAGGCGCGGGGGAGAGGGAGGGAGGAGGGAGCGTGAGGGGTAGCAGCTCCTTGACTGGATCAACGGCGTGGGCGGCTATGTAGGACGAGAGCACTCGCGTCTGCAGGTGATGGGGGGCGGTGGGGAAAGGTGGAGGGAGGGGGAGAGGGGCAGGCAGGGGTGGAAGGAGGTGTGTGTGAAGATGAGGAGGAGGAGGAGGAGAGGAGAGGGTGGGTGGAAGGAGGGAGGGAGGTAAGGAGGGAGGGGTTGAGTTTGGGAAAGAAAAGGTGTTTGGCTGGCCAAGGTTCGGGAATGGGTGATAGGCGAGCAAGGAACGATAAGCATGGGCGCTTTATGATCGATGAACCATGGGATGAACAAGGATGTGGGAGGAACAAGGATGTGGGATGAACAAGGATGTGGGAGGAACAAGGATGTGGGATGAACAAGGATGTGGGAGGAAGGATGGGAGGGACGCGGATGTGGGGAAGAACCAGGTCAACGCATGTGTACTGTGACGGCCGGGGAAGGGACGCAGTGAACTGTACATCAATCACTCATCACAGGCCATTCATGCCACAAAGCGCCACTCAGCAACTCTTATCACTCCTCCCCTCGAACCACCCACCCAGCCCCATCCCTCCTCTCACCACCCACCCACCCCCATCCCTTCTCTCACCAACGCCCCATCCTTCCCCTGATCAGCCACCCCTATGGTGCGTCTCACGGTCTCACCAGCCACTCGTCAAAGCCAGCGATGAGGAAGAGGGCAGCGTCGGCGTTGGTGTGGTGGTGCAGGGCCACTCAGCCACTCATATCACTCATCTCCTCTCACCACGCACCCCCATCCCCCCTCTCACCAGCCACCCCCATCGTGCCTCCTACCAACGCCCCATCCGTACCCCCCATCCGTCCCCTCACCACGCACCCCCATCCGTGCCCTCACCACGCACCCCCATCCGTGCCCTCACCACGCACCCCCATCCGTGCCCTCACCACGCACCCCCATCCGTGCCCTCACCACGCACCCCCATCCGTGCCCTCACCACGCACCCCCATCCGTGCCCTCACCACGCACCCCCATCCGTGCCCTCACCACGCACCCCCATCCGTGCCCTCACCACGCACCCCCATCCGTGCCCTCACCACGCACCCCCATCCGTGCCCTCACCACGCACCCCCATCCGTGCCCTCACCACGCACCCCCATCCGTGCCCTCACCAGCCACTCGTCGAAGCCAGCAATGAGGAAGAGGGCAGCGTCGGCGTTGGTGTGGTGGTGCAGGGCGAGGGAGAAGGACACGGCAGGTGGGCGCACAAACGACCACAGCAGCGCGCCGCCACTGCACACCGGCACCACGCGCACCTGGTGTGGGGCGATGCGGGGCGGTGGCAAGAGGGGTTGGTGGGAGGGAACGGTTGGTGGAGGGATAACGAGAGGGAGTGGGGGGGATGAAGGACGAGGGAGGGAGAGGGAGAGGGAGAAAGAGAGGGAGGGAGTGGGGGCAAGTAGAGTAGCAACAGCTCAGCTCACAAGGTGTTTCACGAGTCAATGATAAATTCGTCTAAGCATTTAGAGCCTCGTATGTCACAGACAACACATTGGCTGCCTGAGAGTCACACAGTCAGACAGACAAACAGACATGCAGATTGACTGACTGACTGACTGACTGACAGACCAACTAACAGACCAAGTATCTGACTGACCAACTGACTGTGACTGACTTACTGACTGACTGACTGACTGACCCACTGACAGACCAAGAAATCGACTGACTGTGCACGATTAATGGACTGTCTAACGAACTGACGAACCGAAGATCGACCGACCGACAGACTGATGGACGAAGTGACTGAATTACTGACCGTGCCAGCAACAGCGACATTGGAGATAGCCAGCTGGATCTTGAACCCGCCAGGAGCCACGGAGGAGGAGGAGGCGAGGGAGTGCGGCGTGCCGTGCTGTGACGAGGAGAGCGACGAGGAGGCGGGCAGGAGGGAGTGCGAGGAGGAGGAGGGGAAGGGGGCGTCCGAGGCGAAGTGCACTGCCAGCACCACAGACAGCCCGCTGCTGCCCCACCTCACGTCCACATTCAGCCCTTGCTCCTCCTCCTCCCCCTCCTCCGCCTGCGTGTGCTCGCTCTCACGCTCACTCTCGTGCTGCTCACGCTGTTCCCTTGCACCCTCCGTCCCGCCCTCTCCCTCCCCCCCTACTACTCCTCCCCCTCCTCCTGCTACTCCAGCACTGGACTGCCCGTCAGCCGTGAGCCCAGCAGCAGCAGCGGCACCTCCATTGCGGGCAGTTGAGTGGGTCTTGTGCGGCTGGCGCGTTGACCAGAACAGGCCGAGAGGACCCACTTGCGGCGCTGCGTCACCGAAATCCATCTCGAGAATCTCCACGGATTGCTGCATGGCGGACGGGGGGAGAGGAGGGGAAGGGGGGGAGCGGAGGGGGGGGGGAGAGGGTACATTACAGGAGGGGAGGGGCGTAGGGGGAGAGGAGAAGAGGAGGACAGGAGGAAGAGATAGGGTAAGAGATAGGGTAAGAGATGGAAAGGTGTGAGGCTGGTTGAACGAGGTTGAAAACACAACACGGCTGGTGCAACTGAAGGTGGAGGGGTTTGGATGCGGGCACCACATACACTACACACCTACATTACACACACCCATAATCACGCCCCACAACTCACCACACGCCCCCTACCTCACCACAACCCCCCGAACTCACCACATGTGGAGGCACATCCCTGTCCATGATGCTCTGTTGGTAGTGGGGGCGACGAATACACGGGCAGAGGAGGGGGGGAAAGGGTGAAGTGAAGACAGCACGCCACGCCACGGCACGAATACTACGAGGGGGAGTGCACGTATGCGGCGGCACGTACAGCCATGAGTCGGGACAATGAGCATCTTATCGTATCACGTGTGTCTGCAAGCAGTAATTGCTCGTTGGGAAGTGGTTGCATTGCACCACGTGCCAGCTCACCGGCACGGCACGGCACGGCACGGCACGGCACGGCACGGCACGGCACGGCACGGCACGGCACGGCACGGCAGCTCACCTGCATGGCGGCCTGCGTGGCGGCGAGAGTGCGGGGGTGCAGCACGTTGGGCCAGAGCAGCACGAGCAGCTTGTTCAGCCAGTCCGCGGGCTCCCGCGCTGACACCGCCTGCCGCCACCCCGCACACAGAGGGGAGGGGATGGACGGAGGAAGGAAACGAGCGAGGAGAGGGAGTGGGGGAGGGGTGAGGGGAGAGGCGGGGAGAAGCGATAGATAGATAGGAGAGGCAAACATGGGCCGGCATTGCAGCGCGAAGGAAGGTGCATCGGGTAAAGTGGAACGGACATGGTGTGGGAGAGGAAGAGGGGGGTGGGGGGAAAGGGGGGAAAGAGGGAAAGGGGGAAGCGGGGAACGGGGGAATGGGGAAAGTGGGGAAGGGGGGAAGGGGGGAAGGGGGAAGTTTCGGGAGGAGCAGGAGAGGCGAGAGCAAGATGATGCTATCTTCACCGTCCTACCCTTCCCATCTGCTCCTACTGTGGCCGGCTATCCACCCATCCAGCACGGCTCTGCCAGGGCGTACGGCGTACCAGGTCTCTGAGAAGTTTCTGCTGCCACATCTCCCTGCGTTCCTCCTCCGCCCGCCGCTCCTCGTGCAGCCTGCGCTGCTGCTGCTCCCCTCGCACGCTCTGCTCCGCACACGCACGCATGCATAAATGAGCACATACACACAAGGCACACATGCACGCACCCACGTATCCATACATGCACGAACGCACACATGCACACATACACGCACGCATGGACGGACACCACGCGCGCCCCACAGATCGCGCAAGGGAAAAAGGAAAGGGGTGGACGAAAGGGGGATAGGGTGAAACAGGGGAATACACAGAAAAGGCCTGCGCGAGTTCACAAGCACGCAACAACACGCCAGATTAGGTTCGAAAGGGGGAGGTCCAGACTGCGGAGTCCGAGCCAGCACAGCACGCGAATGGGATGCGCGGCGCTACGAGCGATCGTGCTCAGCGATACATTGCATCGCCGTTAGCCCTACCAACAACCACAGCCGGATCACCGGCTAGCCTTGCAGAGCGCGATTCGCTGGGGGGGTCATTTTTTCACCTTTTCTTTAATTTCACATAAATGTCCGCGTGGCGGCCGCGCGCGCGGAACGGTTGAGGCTCTAGAGTGCACATCTGAGACCGTAGTGCTTGGTAAGCAGCGGCAGCACTTTTGGTACCTACGTCAGGCCGCACGTGTCTTCCGCGAGAGCTGGCAGCACGGGAAGGACTCAAGAATGGCAGACTCTTGGCGCGATAGCTGGCAGATCCTTTTGAGTCAGATCCACGCTACAGCAGCTCTGAACCTACATGCTCGCATTGGTGCTCCGTGCAAATGCGTTCTACAAGTGGTGCATTCTTAAACGGACGCGGCGCGCAAATGCGTTCTACAAGGCTAAATATATGCGCGACGTGCCATTTGCAGGCGGCGTCCGGCAGGTGCGTCTGGCGAGCAGCGAAGGTGACTCTCAACCAGACGGTCAGCCGTTAGGCAGACTAACGGCTGACAGGCAGCGGCTGGGAAACAGATGCGGACAGCGCAGTTGTCGGCAGACGTTCTTGCTGCAGAGGCAGAATGAGCGCCGCGCAGAAACGCACTAACAACTTTGCTCAGCACGAATGCTGCGCAGACGCAGGTCTATTGGGTCTTCAGCGCGCATTGCGGAAGCGTAGGTCTCGTTGTGCCTAATACGACACGCTCGAAGAACTCAAATACGCAGTCAATTTGGTCTTCTGAGAATGCAGGCGGACAGAAGCCAAAGCTAAAATCTACAAAAATCGCTCTCGGCCACTCACGTGATGCCACATCATCGCCATTGCCAGAAACGCCACGATCCACGTCAGCGGCACCCGTCCGCCGAGATACCATTCCGCCGCCGCCGCTGCTGCCCCGAGCAGGAGCAGTGCGGATAGGGGGAGAACTGGCCCTGCGGGTCGGGCGCGTAACAAGGCGGAAACTTCCCTACCGGACATCGTGCCGGCCGCGATTAATCAGCCTGCCGCGCTCAGTCGGCACGCGCAGCGGAAAGTACGGGCCAGATTAAAGTCCAGAGCGACATGTAACGGCGATGGCGGCCGTTGCTAGTGGAACCTAGATCCTGTGCACATGCTATCGCACGATGCATCAAGGACGGAAATGTATGAACAATCAAACCACTGTGCTGAAGTTTGAAGCGGGAAAAATATTGGAAGGCGGTCTGTCTCTCCCCCTAGACTAGTTGTCAGTGTCAGACTGATTTGATTGGCTGGGTGAGTAAGGTGGAGGGGCACATGGAGATCCACGAAAATGGGTGCAGACGGCACCCATAGGTGTACAGTTCCCTACAATATGAACTTGATGTTTTAAGAGAAATGTGATAGTTATAACATGCTGATTTCCTCCCAATATATATGTATACATAAGATAAGGCATTTTTATTTCCATGGTCTAGTTTTATCCTATATAGCTATATAAAACTCTGTGAAATTTTGTCTTTCTGTATTAAACTTCGTTTCCGTCTTCCCAGCACCCATGATAGTGGTCTAAGCTGTAGCTATGACGTACCAGTGTAACTCTGTACCACTACTTTCCAATTTTGGAGAATCTATATCGCGTTACTCATGTCCTGTCTCAATTCGAGGCAACCCAACTTCAAAGGGGGGCATCAAATTCTGCAGTCACATCAGCTTGCCCCGCCTTCACCATTTGTACGCCATGGATGCTCCTCCGTCGCTGTCGTTGCCTCTTCTTGTACAGCCACTCTCAGGTACGAATTGGATTATGTTATGATTTTGTACCTTCCTCGCACTTCTGTTGGCTTTGCCTGGTACCTCCAGCGCTTCGTCGCTCGCCGAACGCGCGGGGCAAGAAATTCAGCGCGAGAAGCGGAGCTGCGACGACCGCACCTGGTTGGTTAATATTGACCATTCAGCAATGCCATCTACGTCGCTGCTAAACGTTCGTTCCCCAACTAGCGGCATGCTTGGCGCGAGACGGCATTCGAACGCCAGAAAACGTCTTTTTGCATATCTGATATGAAACACAACTGTCCGCTCTTTCTTGATGTATGCCTGTGCTCTCGTGATGGCAGGAGGCAACGGCTGGGTGTTCCAAGAGAGACGGACAGAGAGGGAGAGGAGGTCGCAAGGACCGGATCAGCAGCATGAGAGAAAGCCGCGGCAGCTGCAGCAGCAGCAGCAGCAGCAGCAGCAGCAGCAGCAGCATGGCCGCAGCAAGAACAGGCCAGCAGGATTGCTGCCTGAGCATGCCAGCAGCGGCAAACACGGGTCGGCGTCAGAGCCACAGACGTCGCTGGCAACGGCTGTACATGTCTTGGCACGGCTGGTCAACGCCCTCCTGTCCCTCCTTCCCCTGCTCACGCTGCTGCTGCTCGTGCTGCTGGTTCTGCTCGCAACGCTGTCCGTTGGAGTCGTGCTTCTGCTGCTGCTGCCAGGGGTGCCGTACCCGCTGATTCGCAACGAGCAGCCGTTGATCCAGCAGGTGGGAGGGACTGACTGAGGCGTGGTTGGAGGTTTGCTGGGGGTGACGGTGGGTTGATGTGTTGGTTGGGGGGGATGGGGATCAAGAGAGGTGTGTTGGTGGCGCCAAAGGACATGTTTTGTTTAATCAAAGTCTGACGCTTCACATGTTACTCTGCAGCACCATCACCTCACAGTCGACGTTCATAGCTTCAAATCTCAACATTATCGTATCCCTGAACCTTACTCCCTTAAGTTCCATCCTTTCTGTGGTTCTCTTCTCCCCTCCGCATGCCTGCCCACCACAGATCCTTTCATCAACACCCTTCCTCCCTCCGTCCTCCTCCAACTCCTCCAACTCCTCTTCCTCGCCCGCCTGTCCTGTGTGCCACTCCTTTCTGCTCAACGCAGCAGAGAACAACTTCAAGTCATGGAATCTCCCCCCGTGCTGCGTGCCGCACGTGGCTCGCTACGTCTCCTCCAGGGCCTACCATGTCGACCATTCTGCTGCTATCGCTGCCGCTGCGGCATTCTTCAAGGTGCCGCTAGTTGATGGGCTCAGCCATGAGGCGGGCGCGTGGGAGAGGTGGGGAGGTGGAGGAGAAGGTGGGAGAGGTGGGGAGGTGGGAGTGCGAGTGGGGAGTGTTTTGGGGAGGAAGGGTGGGGAGGGAAAAGCCGCAGGTGAAGCTGTCAGAGGGGATGCGGAGGGTGATTGGGTGTGGGGCAAGGGGCAATCGGCGTCCAGGGGGGGTAGTAGGAGACTCAGCTGGGGATCTAGCAGGCAGCAATCACAGGAAGGCGGGAGCTGGAATGGGAAGATTAGGGGTGGTGAGGGGTGGGAGGAGGTACAGAGGCAGCAGCAGCAGCAGAAGCGGCAAGAGGCGGTGGTGTTTGACATTGACGAGACGCTGCTCTCCAACCTGCCTTATTTAGAAGCACATGGATATGGGTAAGGTTCCATGACGTGTCGTGACGTGAGGTGTCTTTAGCTCCCACAAGGCCCCGTGAGGTCGTGTTGTGAGGTGCCATGAGGTGCTGTGAGGTCATTTAGCTGCACCGTGCTGCAGCATGTGCTGAGCACCGAAGGTTGACGGGCAGTTTACAGTGTTGGTCATGAGCCGAGGATCCTCCATCCACCATTGTATTCCGCATCATGGCTGGTGAGCTGGTTAGACACATCTCAAGCTAGAGGCAAGCAGTCCTGCCTTAGGCAGGCAGGCAGGCAGGGTGTGGAAACACTTTGCATGCCGAAACAAGTCGCTGGCTGCAATTTTCCGTATTCTACTCTTCCACAACAGTCCTCTAAGACTGCTTCTGACCTTGTTTTTAGATTCATCTGTGCAGATCAAGCACACGCCTCTTGAAATCTCATCTCTGCCTGCCATCCATGCTCCCTATCAGGTCGGAGCCTTACGACTCCTCCAAGTGGGCTGACTGGGTGTACACCTCCTCAGCACCACCACTGCCTGCAGGCATTGCCCTCGTCCGAGCCCTGCAGTCCAGTGCAAGCATGCGTGACGATAATGGGCTTGGGAAGGAGAGCCATGGGGAAGACAGCCACGAGGAGGAGAGCAGGGAGGGTGGGGTGGGTGCGGGTGGGTTGAGTGTGGCGCTGGTGACGGGGCGGCCAGAGTCCCAGCGAGCTGCCACGGTGGAGAATCTGAGGCGGGTCGGCGTGACACAATGGAAGGTGCTCATGATGAGGTGAGGACAGGGGAGGGGGAGCGGGGGGAGGGAAGAGAGGTGCTTAAGTCTGTGTGGGAAAAGGAGTTCATGTGATAGCTGTTGACAGTCAACTGGCAGATGATGTCTATCCTAATGACCTGTGCCTTCCACCCCACTGCAGGCCCCTGGATGCGAATGGCAACGTGGTGCAGGAAACAGCAGTGCAGTTCAAGAGCCGGTGCAGGAGGGAGATAGAGGCCATGGGTATGCGCATTGCTGGTAGCGTGGGTGACCAGTGGAGCGACATCACAGGAGATGCCACTGGCGATGGCACCTTCAAGCTGCCCAATCCTTTTTATTTTGTGCCATAGTGTGTTGCTTTGTTTTGTGTTGTGTAATTGTCATACTATTTCTACTAGGGTGAACACTAAGGGCGTGTTCCTACGGCCCCTTATCAGGCCCACCTCTTATCATTCTCGTGTCAAAACACACTGAAATTTCCCTAAACCCAAAAACCTTCGCGAATTTTACCAGGCAAGCCTGACAAGAGGTTTGCCTGATAAGAGCGTAGGAACACGCCCTAACTCACTGCAACAAACTATGCAATCAAATCTAGTAACCCTGTCGAGAAATCTTCCCAGTTTTGAAGGCTTCCTCAGAAAAAGAGACCTCCACGTTGGGTGAAATTGAGGAATTTCAGGCAATATAAGGACGCGATGAAAGTAGACGAGCGATCGTCAGTGGCGATCGGTGTGCGGCTCAGTTACCCTATTTACCCTAATGTAACCATTCTACAGTATATGTTCTGGCCAAAATTAGGGTTCTGTGTGTGAATGAGACTGATCGTTGATCGCGGGAGATCAGTGATAGGCATCAATCAAGTGAACCGAGCCTACCTGGCGCGATTGATTCGGAAGCATGCAGTCGCCGAAGTTATCGCAGGGCCAGAAAAGGGAGTCGCCAGGGCTCTCGACATTTCGCAGCATTCCAACCGCGACTCGGGCCTCGCTGATGCACATCCATCAACCCATCCAAAAACCGTCAACACTCCCGTCAACACAAACGCGATTCGAAATCTGTAAGCATCACATCGCCAAGGGTGGTTGCCCTGTGGGCTGCGACTGTCGCAGGTGGGCTTGGACGACGCTTGTAATTTTTGGGTCCGTGTCGCAGGCAGGCAGTGTTCTCGTATGTGGAACATAGAACACCAATCTCAGGTGCGATCGTTACAACGGAGCGATCGTCATGTTTCGCCAAACGATCAGTACACTCGATTGTGAGGCTCAATATATGAAGACGATCCCGCGATAATTGCACTTTCACCGCGTCCTAAACACCCAGATGGTGTCAGATGAAGAAGGTGCGTGTGACTCCCAGATATTATCGAGGCCAGACCAGATGATATCCATGCCAGCAGACCACCGAACCAAACGAACAAGGCGTTTTCGGTGTGGCTTTGATCCATCCCCAATGTGCGTTTCTTCTTTCTTCGAATCCTTGCTCCCAGTGCCACAATGACGGATTTGCCTCTACTATTGCCATCCCAAGAGTAGCCATTATTCGAGCCAGGGAACGGAACAGCTGGTAAACTGGGTCTGCGTGTGGTCGTCATGTTTTTCTCCCCCAAACATCCCATTAGTTTCACCTGAACACATAGGCTATCCATAATCTCGACCTCTCACCCCCAGGACACTCATTAGCCCAGCTCAGGCCGCCTCAATGTCTCCCGAAACCGCATCTTGCTCGGCTGAGCCGGATCGTCCTCGCATCCTCCTCTTCTCCCGGTCCACATGGAGCCAGCTTTCCCGCTCGCAGCTGATTTACCTTCTAGTGGTGCAAGGCGTGGGATCCGCTATTCTAGACGCTGGAGCTAATTTCGGCATTGCGACGGCCATGTACCGCGGGTCGCCCGACCCCGTGCGTGTATGGGAGCTGCCGAATAGCCTTGCTGGCGACGCGATCGTGACGATCATGATTCAGGGCACGCTGACGTGGGTGATTGCTGGACTGCTGACGAGGTGAGATGAGGGGAGGGAAGTCGCGCCATCAGGGGCGAACTGTGGGAGAAAGAGGGTGGTTGGAAGGCGAGCGAGGGATGCGATGTCTATTCGTCGACGCGAAACGACACTGTCTGTTGATGATGCATGGAAGTGTTTTCAAGGCCTTGAGATCCGATGGCCTGTCTGGTCGCGATGATACATGATTCACATGCCAATCACGAGCCGCTGCCCTTTATTAGCCCATCGATCATGAACTTCAGAGCCTCTCAACCACCACAGCAATCTCTCTCTCTTTCTCTCACTGTTTCTCCATCGCTCCACTTTCTCTCCCCTCCCTCCCCCCCCCCCCCCCCCCCCCCCCCCCCTCTCTCTCTCTCTAACTCTCTCTCTCTCTCTCTCTCTCTCTCTCTCTCTCTCTCTCTCTCTCTCTCTCTCTCTCTCTCTCTTTCTTTCTCCTCCCCCCCTTCCCTCTCGCTTTCTCCCCTGTACATTCTCTCTCTCTCTCTCTCTCTCTCTCTCTCTCTCTCTCTCTCTCTCTCTCTCTCTCTCTCTCTCTCTCTCTCCTTCTTTCTCCTCCCCCCCTTCCCTCTCGCTTTCTCCCCTGTACATTCCCCACAGGCTGGATGTGAAATCAGAACGAATCGAGCCAATCTTTTATCAGCATGCACCTCGTCCACTCCAAGACTTCCCTGCTGACGGTGCTGCCTCTGGTGCGGTCACCCCTCCTCCTGGTGAACCCGCTGCCGCTGCGGCAGATGCTGATAGCAACAGCACCAAGGCACTTGACGGTTCCCTTACCCCTGCAAAGCTCACAAGTGGCCACAGTGGTGGCATGTCGAAATGTTTCCTCTTCTTGGACTCAGCCATACGCTGGATTCTTTGCCGAGGAGACTTCAACTTTGTTGCGTACAAGCCAAAGCCAGAGCCACATCGCTTCCTCCGCTTCGTCCATTCAGTTCTCAGGGGAGCAATGTGCTCTGCGCTTATTGCGATTCCCTATTGGCCGTTATGCCTGGTCCCCCTACTGGCTCTCTGGCATGGGAACGTTGACATCCCCGACTGGCCAGGGCCGCAGATCTTCAAGGCTGTGATGGCGGCAGTGCTTGGGTTCTTCATGACTCCGCTTGTGTCAATGGTTGGACTTCTAGAGGCTGGAAGATGTAGTCTAGCTGACTTGCAGCAGATTTGAGAGAATAGTGCTCAATTTCACTAACACTGAATTCGCTAATGTATATAGTGCTGCTGCCGTTGTGCTTGTGATGTGACTACTGTAAGCTTTTTACCAGGAGATCAGCAGAAACTGGACCCAACAGTTAGGGTTCTGTCTGTTCTGATCGGAGTAACAGATTCCGGTAGATGTGAAGGCTGATACGGTAGGAACACTTCTTACTGTCATGAGTGTAGACGTAGGTGGTATTTCACAGATCAATGTCGGTCCATTTCTTGTCAGTTGATACTTCCGAGACATTATCTGGAATCTACGTGGCAAGACGCTTACGGGGGTATACTTTTTGTGCCTATCCAAAGGGCATGTTACCTACCGAGCGCTTGTCAGGCAATCCCGTGTCAAATTATATATATATGCTTGTTTAGGTTATCTAGGCTGTATGGGGGTTAGCACTAGGGGGTACACAAACTTCCTCGATACCCTAGTCTTGTACCCTAGCCTTCACCTAATCCATCATCCTTGCCTTAGGTTCTTAACATGGTAACTAGAGCAGGAGGTCTCTAGGACCTACGAATCGGGCCCACCTAACTGCCTGCCTTGCCTACTGCTCGCGCGCGCCTCGGCGGCAGCGCGCGTCACTTATTCTTTTCCCGTGCGCGCCTCGATTTCTAGCGCGCGCGTCTCTGATTTTTAGCGCGCGCCACTGCTGTAGAGCCGCGCGCCGGTCCGCGTCGCCCGTGTAGCCCTCGTAGAGCCCGCGCGCCCCTTACGCCGCCCGCGCGCAGCCTAAGCAGAGCCCACCGCACGCGCGCGACGTAGAGCCCGCCGCCCGCGCGCGCGCTGCCCGTCGCCACGTGCAGCCAGGAGCCGCGCGCAGCACGTAGCCACGCGCAGCAGAGAGCCACGCGCGGCCCTTAGCCGCACGCAGCCAGCAGCCGCGCGCGCCCTACGTGTGTACTTGCCTGTGAGGCTTACTGCTGCCGAAATCACTGCCTTCGAACTGTACGGCCTGCCACTGTCTAGAGCCCCACCGTAGGAGCTCGGGTACAGCAAGCTACTGCCCTGCACGTTGCCTGTACTGCCTACTGCCTACTGCCTAAGTTTTGGCCTTCTGTCTACTGCCTACTGCCTCGTGTCTACTGCCTGCCTGCTTTCTGCTGCCTTTGCCTACTGCTGTTATGACGACGCCTAATGTTCTCGCGTTCGAACCTGACGGTCGCCCCATAGAGTTCACTGTGTGGCTAGACGACCTGCAACTGTTCCTTCTGACCGATGCCAAAGAGGGCGTTTCACTGTTCGATTACGTGTCTGGCACTGCCGTTGCTCCTGCTGCTGATGCTCCTGCTCTCGAACGCTCGCAGTGGCAGACTCGCGATGCTGCTGCACGCCTAGCTATTAGGAACCATCTGCCGATCACTGAGCACACGCATTTCAGCCAGCACAAAACTGCTAAGACACTGTACGACGCTGTAGTTGCACGCTACTCCTCCCCGGCCACTGCAGCCATAGGTCGGCTCATGCTACCCTACCTGTTCCCCGACCTTTCCTCGTTCACCACTGCTGAGGACCTCATTTCTCACCTCCGCGCTACTGACACTCGCTTTCGTGCCGCCCTCTCAGCCGAGTTCTGCGCCGCAAACCCCCCCCCCCCCCCCCGATGTACTTCACTCTCTATTTCCTCGTTACGCGCCTACATGACACTCTTAGCTCGGTCAGGGACCACTTCCTAGCGCTAGACCCCCCCACTCTCACTGTCGACGACTTCGAGAAGCACCTCCTTGCAGCAGAGAAGAACATCCTCGCTGTAGGTGCTGCTCGTGGCACTCCTCGCTCTCCCCTCTTTGAGGGGTGCTCCCCCTCCCCTCTCACCCCCTCCTACGCCTCCGCAGCTGCTGCTCACGACTACCTTGGTGCTGAGGAGGTCGGGGCTGCTTCCGCTCCTAGTGGGAAGCGTCGCAGCGGCAGGGGCGGCAGGGGTGGCAGGGGCGGTGGGGGCGGCGGTGGAGGCGGCGGTGGTGCAGGCGGCGGGGGCGGTGGAGGTGGTGGGGGTGGTCGTGGGGGTGGAGGGGGTGGAGGTGGTGGTGGGGGCGGCGGAGGCACTGGGGGCGGTGGAGGGGGCAGCAGCGGCGGTGGGGGAGGAGGGAGCGGTAGTGCCAGTGGTGGTCAGGGCCAGCAGCAGCAGCCGCAGCAGCAGCAGCAGCAGCAGCAGCAGCAGCAGCAGCAGCAGCAGCAGCAGCAGCAGCGTCGTCAGCGCCAGACCCCCACTTCCCAGCAGCTTCTTGACTGGTATGCCGGGGGTCCTGGTCGCTGCCCCTATATCATCCGCACAGGTCCCCGCGCTAATCGCCAGTGCACAGGGTTTCACACTGAGCAGCGCTGCTTCGCTCGACTTAGCGACGCCTGGCGCGCCAAGTTTCCTGATGCTACTGAGTTCCCCAACTGGGCAGACTTGCTTAGGCGTGATATACCAATCTTTGATCTTGACTATGAGGCTATTCTTGCTGCTATGTATGCATTGACTGTTAGTGCTGAGGGTGACTGCTACTTGTGTGTGCCGCCTGACCCAGGTATAGCCCCAGGTATAGCGCCTGTGGCACTAGGTGCTTGTGAGTCTGCTCCCCCTGGTACTGCGTCCGCACAGGCCTTGCACACCTTCACACTTGACTCTGGTGCTTCCCGCTGTTTCTTTCGCGACAGCACCACAGTCACTCCCCTCCCTGCACCTGTTCCTGTCTCGCTGGCTGACCCCTCTGGGGGCCCAGTGCTTGCACGGACTTCCACTGTGCTTCCGTGTCCGGCGGTCCCGTCTGGTGAGCTGTCTGGTCTCCACCTCCCCTCGTTCTCTACGAACTTGGTGAGCAACGCTGTCCTTCAGGATCACTGGGTTGACACCTTTACTCCTGGAGGACAGCGTGTGGCGATCTGCACGTGCTCTCGGACCGGCCGTCACCTGGCCACGTTCACACGTGCGCCTGGGTCTAGTCTGTACACCCTCACCACTGCGTCACGCTACACCCCTTTGTCCCCCCAACTGTACGCGTCTGCTCAGGTAGCTACCCAGTGTGAGTGTCGCCGCCTGTCGCACGACACTCTTCTGTGGCACCACCGCCTTGGTCACCCCTCCCTGCCTCGCCTTCGTCGCATGCACTCTCGCTACCTGGTCTCTGGCCTTCCTGAGTCTCTGCCTGCCCTCCCTCCCTCGCCTGCGCCGCCCTGCATTCCTTGCGTCGAGGGGCGGCAGCGCGCCGCTCCTCACTCCTCCTCGTTTCCTCCCACAGAGGCTCCCCTGCAGAATCTCCACATGGACGTGTGGGGCCCAGCCCGCGTCCGTGGACAGGGCCACGAGCGGTACTTCCTGCTGGTCGTCGACGACTACACGCGTTACACCACGGTCTTCCCCTTGCGCAGCAAGGGGGAGGTCCCTGATGTTTTGATCCCCTGGATCCGCGCTGTTCGTCTCCAGCTCCGCGAGCGGTTCCGGTCGGACTTTCCTCTCCTGCGTCTGCACTCTGACAGAGGTGGTGAGTTCTCTTCAGACCTCTTGGCAGCCTACTGTGCGGAGCACGGCATCCGCCAGTCGTTCACGCTTCCGGCCTCTCCGCAGCAGAATGGGGTTGCTGAGCGCCGCATTGGCTTAGTCATGGAGGTCGCTCGTAACTCCATGATCCATGCGGCTGCCCCCCATTTTCTGTGGCCGTTTGCGGTCCGGTACGCCGCGCATCAGCTCAACCTCTGGCCCCGTGTCTCCTTGCCGGAGACCTCGCCCACACTGCTGTGGACGGGGAAGGTTGGCGATGCGTCGCGTTTCCGGGTCTGGGGTGCTCGTGCCTTTGTCCGCGATACCACTGCGGACAAGCTCTCCGCTCGCGCCATTCCCTGCGTCTTCCTTGGCTTTGTCCCTGACGCGCCTGGCTGGCAGTTTTACGACCCCGCCTCGCGCCGTGTCTTTCCGTCTCAGGACGTCACCTTTGACGAGTCCGTCCCCTTTTACCGTCTCTTTCCCTACCGCACTGCTCCTCGCCCCCTCCCGCCGCTCTTTCTCGCCCCAGGTCCTCCCCAGGTAGACCCCCTCCCCGCGCCAGGTCCTGCTCCTTCAGGTGTTTCTCAGGTAGACCCTCCCGTGCCTGCGCCTGTTGAGGTCACTGGTGACTCGGGTCCTACTGGGGGTGGTACTGTCTTTGGGGGTGCTGAGCCTGGGGGTGCGGAGCTTGGGGGTGCTGAGCCTGGGGGTGCGGAGCTTGGGGGTGCTGAGCCTGGGGGTGCGGAGCTTGAGGGTGCTGAGCCGGGGGGTGCGGAGTCTCGGGGTGCTCAGCCTGAGAGTGAGGAGCCTGGAGGTCCTGAGCCTGGGGGTGCTGAGTCTGGGGGTGCGACGCCTGAGGGTTCTGGGTCTGCACCTGCGCGGTCTCCTTGGAGTAGCCGCCTTCGTACGCGTGTGCCTCTCACCTCACAGCAGCTGCACGACTGGTACGGTCGCCGTCAGGGTCGTGCTTCTGGAGCTCGGGGCTCTGCCGCTGGAGGTACTTCTGCTGACACCGCTGGAGCTGGGAGTGGTGCTGGTCCCGGAGGTGCTCGCACTGGAGGTGCTGGAGCTGCTGGGGCTAGAGGTACTGCTGAGCCTGAGGGTGCTACTGCTGGAGACCCTGGGTCTGGGGGTGCTGTTGCTGGAGACACGGAGGCTGGAGACCCTGGGACTGGAGGTGCCGGTTCTGGGGGTGCTGCTGAGGGTACTGGAGCTGCTGAGGGTGCTGGAGCTGCTGAGGGTGCTGGAGCTGCTGGAGGTGCTGGAGCTGCTGAGGGTGCTGGAGCTGCAGGAGGTGCTGGAGCTGTTGAGGGTACTGGAGCTGCTGGAGGCGCTGGAGCTGCTGCGGGTGCTAGAGCTGCTGGTGCTGGTGGCACTGCACAGCCGCGCCTGTTCTTTGCTCCACCGTCTCCGTCGTCTCTGCCACCGCCTGACTCCGTACTTCGCCAGGTTCTTAGCCTCCCGTCGTCTACTGGTCTTCCGTTACAGCCTAGCTCACCTCTGCCTGCTCCTTCTCCTTACACTGAGCAGACAGGGGGCTTTTCTGAGCGTCGTGAGCCTGCGTCACGTCCTGTCTCACCTGTCCGTTCTGGTCGTTCCAGTCGTCGTGTTCCTCGTCAGCGTCCGCCGGCTGTCCCCGGTCCTTCCCTTGTAGTCCGTCGTCCTTCCTCTCCTCCGCAGCGTGTTCCTCTGCCGTCCCCTCCGGAGTCTTCTCTGCCTGTTGTTCCAGACCCTGAGTCTGACCGGTTTCGTGCTGAGCACTCTACTGTCACGCGTCTGCTAGCCACTGTTGTCACTGACCCGTCGTTTGAGTCTGCTGCTGCGTCTGCCTTAGTCGCTGAGCTTGTTGACTTTGCTGCTGCCTGTCGTCTGGACTACGCTGCTAGTCTTGTTGCTGAGTCTGAGTCTGTCTGTCCTCCGTCCGTCGGGGGTGAGTGTGCTCTTGGCACGGACGTCCTTGAGGACAGGCACGAGGACCTTGAGTGTCTTGCAGCCGCTGCGCCTCATCTTGTGTCCATGCTGCTTGCCCCTGAGGGAGACCCGGATGCACCAGACATCCCGACCCCGCGCTCTTACGCTGAGGCGATCGCGGGTGAGTACTCCTCTCAGTGGCAGACAGCCATGGATGCAGAGATGGCATCCTGGAAGTCCACAGGCACCTACGTCGACGAGGTTCCCCCTCCTGGGGCGAACATCGTCAGTGGCATGTGGATTTTCAGGGTGAAGCGGCCGCCAGGTTCTCCGCCTGTCTTCAAGGCGCGTTACGTTGCACGAGGTTTCAGTCAGCGAGAGGGAGTAGACTTCTTTCAGACCTTCTCCCCCACCCCGAAGATGACCACTCTTCGGGTGCTGCTGCACGTTGCCGCTCAGCGTGACTACGAGCTTCAATCTCTTGACTTCAGCACAGCCTTCTTACAGGGCAGTCTGCACGAGGAGATCTGGCTGCGCCGCCCTCCTGGCTTCACTGGGTCGTTCCCTCCTGGTACCCAGTGGAGCCTCAGGCGGCCGGTCTACGGTCTCCGCCAGGCGCCACGTGAGTGGCACGACACACTGAGGACGACACTTGCGGCTCTTGGGTTTGCTCCGTCGACTGCTGACCCGTCGCTGTTTCTGCGCACCGACACTTCGCTGCCGCCGTTCTACATCCTCGTGTACGTCGACGACTTGGTCTTTGCCACTGCTGACACTGAGGCTCTCGCCCTGGTGAAGTCGGAGCTGCAGAAGAGACACACGTGCACAGACCTGGGTGAGCTGACAAGCTATCTTGGCTTGCGGATCACCCGGGACAGAGCATGCCGCACCATCACACTGACTCAGTCACACATGGTGTAGCAGGTCCTTCAGCGCTTCGGCTTCACCTGGTCCTCGGCACAGACCACTCCTCTGGCTACAGGTCACTCGCTCTCAGCTCCACCTTCGGACGAGTCCGTAGAGCCGAGTGGTCCTTACCCAGAGCTAGTGGGCTGCCTCATGTACCTGATGACCTGCACTCGTCCTGACCTTGCGTACCCTCTTGGCCTTCTGGCTCGCTACGTGGCTCCTGGTCGGCACCGAAAGGTGCACATGGATGCTGCCAAGAGGGTACTACGCTACTTGTGCAGTACATCGGGCATGGGGCTCGTGCTTGGAGGACGGAGCGACGTTGTCCTCACTGGTCACTCGGACGCCTCTTGGGTTGACGACCAGGCTACGCAGCGGTCGTCACAGGGTTACACCTTCAGCCTTGGTTCTGGCTCAGTTTCCTGGCGTTCTACACGTTCGTCTTCAGTTCTCGGCTCCAGCTGTGAGGCCGAGATCTACGCCACAGCCATGGCTGCACATGAGCTACGCTGGCTCACCTACCTGCTGACCGACTTGGGAGAGCGGCCTCGTTCTCCTCCAGTTCTGTACGTCGACAACAAGGCCGCCATTGCCTTGTGTCAGGAGCACAGACTGGAGCACAGAACGAAGCACATCGCTCTGCGTTACTTCCTTGCTCGAGAGCTGCAGCAGCGTGGCCAGCTTCGTCTTGCTTACGTGGCCACTCGGGCCAACACTGCTGATATATTCACCAAGGCGCTTCCGCCTGGTGATCATCAGCGTTTCTGCACCTTGTTAGGCCTAGTGCCCACATTTCCTCACTTGCTGTAGGCTTTGTTTGTACTGTGATCTATATATATATCTCTGCATGTGAACTGACCTTGTGGTCTTTTGCTTGTGCTCAGACTGCGTGGTGACGTTGTGATCCACCCTGAGCTGTGTTTTGTTTCTTCTCTTGACTGGTCTTGTGACCGTTGCTTGCTCTGGCTATCCCCCATTTTGCCTATGGGGGTGTGTCAAATTATATATATATGCTTGTTTAGGTTATCTAGGCTGTATGGGGGTTAGCACTAGGGGGTACACAAACTTCCTCGATACCCTAGTCTTGTACCCTAGCCTTTACCTAATCCATCATCCTTGCCTTAGGTTCTTAACATCCCGAGTGTCTCTTTCCAACTACAAGGTTTCTGACACATGTTGATCATGTAGCTCCTAATGATCCTACGGTACCTTGGGAGCATTCTATCTACCTTTTATCGGCAAACGCCTTCGATCCTGGCGACCTTGGTTGTGTTTCACTGTCAGAACACGCTCTTAACTCTTGACTTAGTAACTTAGGGTTTACCTAGGAAGCGTGAGTGTCGAGAGTGAGCATGGCAAGAGAATTGGGCAAAGAGAGGCATTCACTAAGGAATGTTTACAAGATATAGGATAGGGGAGAGGATAGGGTACACCACCACCAGTTGAACCTAATAACTAACTAATACACTAGCAAGCTATAGGCAGTTAGGATATGCAATATAATTCAACACACCCCCGTAACTGCCTACGGCTATAGCTAGTGGTGTCTGGCACCAGGTCGCCTGGAGAGCGGTTGCTGTAGCTGGGATAGGCACAGAAACAGCGGTGGCTGACCGGCAGCACCTGTGAACGCCAGAACGGAGGAGGGCGCGGAGAGCGCGGAGGAGGGCTGGGATAGCCGGAGGGCGAAGGATGCTGGTCGCTCGCCATCTACAAGCAAACACAACTGTTGGTGAGGAGGAGGAAGCTGGTGGTGGTGCACAGGAGGAGAGCAGAGGAGAGGCGGCTGGAGGAGAGGAGAGTGGAGGAGGAGATGCGGCTGGAGGAGAGGAGAGGAGAGAGGAGGAGGAGATGCGGCTGGAGGAGAAGAGGAGAGGAGAGGAGAGGAGAGGAGAAGAGGAGGAGGAGAGGAGAGGAGAGGAGGTGGCTGGCGCGGCAGAAGCTCTCCCGCCACCCCCTCATCCCCCTCCCCCCCATGCGCTGGCGCTGGCGGAAGTGCTGGCGCTGGGCGCTGGCGTCGCGCTGGCGCTGGCGCCCGCCGTCGGCGCTGGCGTCCGCGCTGGCGCTGGCGACCGCCGTTGGCGCTGGCACTGGCGCCCGCCGTTGGCGCTGGCGCTGGCGCCCGCCGTTGGCGCTTGCGCTAGCGCCCGCCGTCGCCTCGCTGGCACGCTCGCCACTGGCAGAGCGCGACGGGGCAGGCGAAAGGGGGCAGCGCGACGGGTGCTGCAAAAGCAGCGGATTTCGAGCCAGCAGCGGATTTCGCGCTAATAGGAGTAGCAGCCATGCCAGCAGCACAATAAGTCGCCATGGCAGATCGCGGGTTTGGTGGGCCCATGAAAACGAGGTCCTAGGAGGGACCACGCTCTGATATCATGTCAGAACACGCTATTAACTCTTGACTTAGTAACTTAGGGTTTACCTAGGAAGCGTGAGTGTCGAGAGTGAGCATGGCAAGAGAATTGGGCAAAGAGAGGCATTCACTAAGGAATGTTTACAAGATATAGGATAGGGTAGAGGATAGGGTACACCACCAGCAGTTGAACCTAATAACTAACTAATACACTAGCAAGCTGTAGGCAGTTAGGCTATGCAATATAATTCAACATTCACCTACTGATATTGGCAAACCAAGAAGTTACATCAAGGAGTCTCTACCAGGCCTATATTACGGGTATTGCCGCGGCTTAAAGCTGCGGTCTACATACAAAGTGGTGTTTTTTGGGGGTAATTTTTATGCCCACCCTTTCGTGCGGCCTGATTGGAGAACGAAGTCAGCATGTTTCAGAAACACCGCAGCAGACGAACTCAGACAGGAAAGGCGAATCCATCCTAATTTCGTGCTGACGCGTGGTTTGGGGGAGGGTCTTCGGAAGGGCGGGAAACAACTGTGCTGTGCTCTGTTTTTCATCATCGCACCATGGGTCGTCCTCCGAAGAAGGCTGCTGCGGCTTTGAAGGCTGGTGCGGTGGAACGTTCACCGCTAGACAAGGGTCACCAGTCGGAGCCTGCTACGCCGAAGCCGATGTTGAAGGATACGGTGGGACCGTTTGCTGCGGATGACACCAGGAGGTCGCTGGAGAAGAAGTTGGCTTTGTTGAGCTTCCGGACCCTGGAGGACAATGCGTCAGGGGAGGCAAGTGCTACAGAGCGAGGGAAAGAGAAAGAGGCTGAGGGTGACGCGCCGGCTGCTGAAGTCCGTGTGGATCCTGTGGAGGAAGATGATGAAGATGAGATAGAAGACGATGGTTATTTGAGCGACGATCCGGAGGAGCGTCTGGATCCTGTTCGAGCCGGGGAGATCGCGGCACTTGCGGGTTACACGCTTACCCTTTTGATTCCGGTGGAGTTTGAGAAGGAGGTCCCGCGAACCATGGATACAATGAAGGAGTTGCTGATTGTGTGGAAGAAGGCGCTGTCGCCGCATGCGCAGAAGACAACGAAGATGCAGACCCTGCTGTCGGCTTACCTGTCGAAGAAGCGTTTTGGGAGGATGCAGGTTACCTTCCGGGAGGCCGCGGATGCGAACTACGTCTGGTGCCGGCGTGTGGAACACATTTGCGCGGATGGGAAGACTAAGCTGATCCTGAACTGGCAGCATCCGGAGAACCCGCTGTACATCAAGGAGCGCGCGCAGAACAAGGAGGCTGTGGAGGTGCTGCTGAAGGAGGTTCCCGCTGAGATCTCGCCGGATATGATCTACAAGCTCCTCGTCACTACACCGCTGGAGAAGCGTGGCCGTCCACCGTACCAGGTTGGCGCGGCTTTTCATCGGGTAGTTGATCCTGTGACAGGAGCAGATACTCACAAGATAAAGGGGTTGGTGAAAATCCACCTGGGGGATAAGTATCGGTGGTGGCACATGCTTTATGATACGGTCCACCACAAGCAGCTGCTTGTCCATTTTCCTTCGCTCAAATGTGATTTTTGCAACGGCATGCATTTCACGAAGCTGCATGATGACTATGTCACGGAGAGGCACGAGAACATTGCGAAGTGGAATCTGACGCTGCAGCGGATTCATGACATCAACGGTAAATGGTGGTGCACTAACCTTGTTTTTCGGGCTGTCGGGGTCCAGATCTGGAACGCTGATAGCCGTTTCCCACCCTCCGTGAGCAGCTGGTTCGCATCTGCTAAACGCGACGGTGAAGAAGATTCTTCGGGATCCGGCGGTGTCCTTGGTTTCTACGGGAGGCAGCAGGGAGGATTGGATCTGCGTCCAGGAAGCGTGTGTGAAGGCGAAGGGGTCCAGTTTCTCTCAGGCGATGTCCCATGTGCGCTCTGTCCAGCACTGCACCGCGATCCTGAAAGGGGGGGATGCTACGCGTGCAAGCAGGGGGAAGGTGAACCTGACGGCGATCCGCAAGGAGTTCGCGCTGTGATGGAATTGGCAGCCTCGGTGCTGGAGTTTGAGCCTCGCGCCTGGCGTATGGCGTGGTTGGTCAGGATTGGTAGCGGTAGTCAGCAGCAATTTGGATGCATGCTTCTCGGTTGTACTCAAGCCCGTGGATGCGATGGGGCTCTTGTGCAGTGTTTTAATGGATAACAAAACCAACGGCATCACACTGTGTGAGGTCAACGTGAACGGCCTCGGTAGTAACGGGAAAAGGAGCAAGAATCTGAAGTGGCTTAAGAAAACGGCAGACATCATGGTGCTGACGGACACAAGAGTAGGAGAGGATCATAACTTTTGGACTCAATTAAGACCTACGGCGATAGCGGCGGTGGCCCCAAGTCAGAAAGCATGAGGAGTTGCTGTTCTCTCTTTCACAGATGGTGTGGTTTTCAAGGAGATTAAAAGGCACAGCTCTGGCAGACTAGTGGGGGTGACGGTCTGCAGTACGCACCTGGAGTTCCGGCTAGTAGCGGCGTACCTGCCGGCCCAGGCGGGCACGCGGTCCACCTTCCTCACCAAGTGCTTGACTCCTTTCGTCCGAGAGCAGCCGGTGTCAACGCACCTGGTGCTGATGGGGGATCTCAACTTGGTAGAAGACTCGGAGATGGATAGGTCCTCGCGCGCTGGCTCAGGGACGGAGGATTTGAGGCTGCGGAATTTCTGGCCCATGCATGATCTGTGGGATGCTTTCCGCGCGTTGCATCCGTCCCGTCGGGAGTACACTTTTTACTCCAGGGCGTCGCAGACAAGTTCGCGGATAGATCGTGTGTTGGTCTCGCTCTCGGTGTTGGGGCAGCTGACGGAGGCGAAGCATGTTTGGGTCCCGAAGTCGCTGTCGGACCACTGGTTTGCGATTCGGGTGGGTTTCTCGGTTGCCGCGTCACTGGAGAGGGGTCCGGGGATGTGGAGACTGCAGGCGAAGCAGGTTAACGCAAAAGGGGTGAAAGCGGTAACGGAAAAGATTTTGAAGAAATTGGAGGGGGAGCCGGGCTGCGGGCTGGACAAGACGCTTCGGCTTCTGTCCGCAGGTCTGCGCGCGCACACACGGGAGGAGAAGAAACGGGTTAGAGCGACGATTGCACATCTGGAACAAGAGGTGGAGGAGCTACGACATGCGGTAATGCAACGGCCAAGAAGCAGGGGCTTACAGCACAAGGTGGCGCTTCAGGAGGCTCATCTGGAGGCTTACCTGGAGAGAGACAAGGAGAGGCTGCAGGTTCTGGCGGGACTAAACGTGGAGCTGAACGGGGAGGTTCCCTCGCCCTACCTGACAGCGAAAGTCAAGATTCGGAAGAGCCGCACGGTGGTGCAAGAGGTCAAGCATAACGGGGTGATGTACCGGGGCACGCGCGAGGTGCTACAAGCGGCAGAGGAGCATTTCGGGGCGGCCTTTAGCGGGGTGCAACCGGAGGAAGAGGTGGACTGGGGATCTTTTGCGCTGGGTCCGCGGTTCTCGGATGCCGATGCGGCGGAGCTTGGGAGGAGTTGGACGGAAGAGGAGGTGAAAGAGGCGATTGCTTCCCAGCCGAAGGGCAAGTCCCCGGGGCAGGACGGGCTCCCGGCAGAATTCTTCGCGGCACACTGGGACCTTCTGGGAGGGAGAGTGATGCAGATGGTTAAAGACTTTGAGCTGACGGGCAGGCTCTCGGAGTGTTTGTCCACTGCGGTCACGGTACTCCTGCACAAGAAGGGGGAGAAGGACCGGCTGGGGAATTACCGGCCAATCACGCTGCTGAACTCGTTGTACAAAATCATCGCCAGAGTAATGGCCTCAAGGCTTAAAAAGGTGCTGGGGAAGGTGCTGACGAAGGAGCAGCACGATTTCTTACCGGGGAAGAGTTTGGCCGACGCGGTGTCGGTGGTGGTGGATGCGGTAGAAGCGGCGAATAACGGCGGGAAGGACTGGCTGTTGCTGCTGGTCGATTTCCAAAAGGCGTATGACACAGTCGCACGGAGCTATCTCTTCAGGGTGCTGTCGGAATTGGGGGTGCCGGAGAACTTCGTGAGCTGGACAGTGGGCCTGCACAGAGATGCCGGTACGAAAGTAACGATGAATGGGTGGTTGAGCGAAAAAGTGGACATGGAACGCGGGGTGCGGCAAGGTTGCCCCTTGGCGCCATACCTATTTCTGTGCGCCCTGGAACCGCTTTGCAGAGAGACGTGTTGTCGCCAGCTGGGGGTATGCGAGGCGGGTGTCGGGCGCCTGTCGTACGTGGGATATGCGGATGACACCTCTTTCCTGCTGGAGGGGGAGGCGCAGCTGAGGGAGTCAGAGGCGTTGTTGGAGACTTTTGGGAAGCAGTCGGGCTTAAAGGTTAACTGCGAGAAGTCGGTGGTGTTGCCGTTGGGATGTAATCGTGGCAAGCAGGCGACGCAGGGGCTTAGCTTCAAGTGGGCGGATAAGGAAGAACCGGAACGCCTTCTGGGGATCTGGATCACTCCGAATGGGGATGCCGGACCTTCCTGGGATAAGACGTACGAACAGGTGAAAGAGGAGCTGGGAAAATGGGAGGCTCAGTACCTTACCACGACAGCAAGGGTTGCGGTTATCGGTTGTTACGTCCTACCTATCATCATGTTCCAGGCGCAGGTATACTCGCCACCGGAGGAAACATGGGATAAGATCCGTAAGCTCTGCCACAATTGCCACAATCTCCGGGGGGGTGGCGTCGGAGGAAAGGCGGTTTGTGCTGTGGAGCGCTTACCTAGCAAGCTTACCAATGAAGGATGGGGGCCTGGGGTTGGTGGATCTGAAAACCTGGTTGGACGGCTTGGCGGTACGCAGGGTGGGGAAGCTGTTGGCGGAGCCAGAGGGGGTTCGTCGATGGCTAGCAGAGGAGGCGGCGGCGCTGCCACAAGGGACGGCAACGTGGTACGCGCACCCAGCAGTGATTAAAAGATGGGAGGGAGGGAGTGAGAGGTGGAAGGTGGCGGCGAAGGTGTTCTGGAAAACTCCTTTTGCGGACCTGCCTGACCCAAGAAACAGATGGGAAGTGGACGAAGAATGGGTGTGTTTCAACAGGAAGATAATGCACAGAGGGAAAAGTCCGTTCGGTCATCAAAAAGGGACGGAGGTGATACTCAATCTGAGGGTCCGGGATCTTCTCACAGGTCTGCCGGATGACAGCAGGAGGCCAAAGAACCTGGAGGAGCTGACGGAGGAATTGGAGGATGAGGCAGCGGCAGCATGGGCGTTGAAAGCGTATGAAGCTCTCCCTGCGGGATGGAAAGCCATGGCACTGGCGCCGGCCACGACGCAAGCGCTACAGGCGGCGACAAGCACGGGCAGTACGTCCTCGAGCCCAACGGGGGAGAAGGTGTACTGGTCGGTGACGGGGGTGGAGGGGACGAAGCTGCGGGTTAGGAGCTTGCAAGTGGGAGAGGGTGGCAAGCTGGCGGCTCCAGAGCGGCCGGTGCGGACATGTTTTGAGGTGTGTGGTGCGCAGCCGGTGGTAGTGAGGGAGGCGAAAGTATTAGGCCCCATGGGGGTGGCGAAAACGAAACTGATGATGGTGACTAAGTTGTTCGACGGCGGTGGGCTGGTCCCGCTGCATGGAATACGGCTTGCGATATCAAAAGTAACGGGGGTCTCCAGGAGACAAGGCGAGTGGGAAGAGGTGTGGGGAAGAAAGATCGACTGGAAGGCTGTGATTGATGTAAGGGACTCTCTGGTGGTTCCTCTAAAGGCGCGTGATGTGCTGCTCAGAGCACACAGCATGAACCTGCAGGTGGGAGGGAGGCTGGATTTCATGAGGAACAGCATCGACTTGTCAAAGTATATGCATGTTATATATGTATAGGCTGTAGTGGGGTAGCCAATATGGGGTACAGCCCCTTTTAGGGTTTCATATTTGTACCCAATACTTTCATAGTTCAATCATTCCTGTTGCTAGATTTTGACATGGTTTCAGAGCACTAGGTCCGTAGGACCGTTTTTTTTTTTTTCGGGCCCACCTACCGTTACGGTTACCGCGCTACCCCACGTGTTGTCCTGCCTGCCTGCCTTGCCTTGTGACGTGTTGCGCTGCGCGCGCCGTCCTGCAGCCCTCGCGCTGCCTACTGCTGCCCTAGGCCAGCGCGTCGCCTCTGCAGGCCCGTAAGGCCCGCGCGCCGCCCCTGCAGGCTCGTAAGGCCCGCGCGCCGCCCCTGAAGGCCCGTCAGGCCCGCGAGCCGCCCCTGCAGGCCCGTCAGGCCCGCGAGCCGCCCTTGCAGGCCCGTCAGGCCAGAGCGCCGCCCCGCCAGGTCGCTGACGCGGCCCCGCCCTGCCGCTGACGCGGCCCCGCCCTGCCGCGGTTGCGGCCCCGCCCTGCCGCCGACGCGGCCCCGCCCTGCCGCTGTCGCGGCCCCACCCTGCCGCTGACGCGGCCCCGCCAGGTCGCTGTCGCGGCCCCGCCCTGCCTCTGACGCGGCCCCGCCCTGCCACTGCCGCGGCCCCGTCCTGCCGCCGACGCGGCCCCGACATCCGCCGACGCGGCCCCGACCTGCCGCTGTAGCGGCCCCGCCCTGCCGCCGACGCGGCCCCGCCAGGTCGCTGTCGCGGCGCGCCCTGCCGCTTACGCGGCCCCGACCTGCCGCTGTCGCGGCCCCGTCTTGCCGCCGACGCGGCCCCGCCCTGCCGCTGACGCGGCCCCGCCCTGCCGCTGTCGTGGCCCCGCCCTGCCGCCGACGCGGCCCCGCCTGGCCCCGCCCTGCAGCAGCTGCCGCGGCCCTGCCCTGCCGCTGTCGTGGTCCCAGCCCTGCAGCTGACGCGGCCCTACTTTGCAGCCGCTGTTGCGGCCCTGCCGTCGCCGCCGTCGTGTGCCTACCTGCCCTTCCCGCCATTGGTGAGCACCTGCCTTGTTCGCGCGCTGCCGCGCCACCTACCTGCCTGACTGCCTGCCTGCCTGCCTGCCTGCCTGCCTGCCTGCCTGTCTGCCTGCCTGCCGCGCCTGCCCTGCCCGCGCTGCTACTGCTGCTACTTCTGTTCCTACTGCTAGGCTACTGCTA